GACCAAGTTTAACATTATACTTAAAGCTTGACAAATCTTCTCCTGAGTTTGAAGTTTGTCTTTCAGTTGTTGGTAGTCGTTTCGAATATCTGCAACAGAACTTAAGTCTCTGTTAACTTCAGGATATGTTGGTTCTTTTACAGGAACAATTGTTATACCATCTTCGTCTTCGTATGGTTTCCCCACTTCAACATCTCTGTCTTTGACATTGACAACAACACTTTGACTGTTTGTTTGAGTTGGTGAATTTAACTTCACATCTGCCACCGCCATTAAACCTTTTGAAACACTTACGCTTCTATTTTTCGGAAATGACATTTTACTTAGAATAAAAAGATGGACGTATTCGGATATCTTATTGAATTGAAGCAGAACAAAGTTTATACTCACAAACAATACAAATACATTAACAGAATAGTTCTTTACACAAACAATGGAAAATGTTATAGAATAGCAGTCTTTGCTGAACCTAAATATTTTCATAAAGCAAAGAAAGTTGGTATAACTGGAATGGTGAAAGTTCTTGAAGCAGACAAAAATATAACTTCAAAACTTACAGATATTACTAAAGGAAAGTTTATAATACAATATTATGTCAAAACTGGCGTACTGTCAATATTTGACGGAGAGAAGTCAGTTCAAGAACAACTTACTGACCTGCTGCCAAAATCTGCTCGATGGAAGCTGTCGTTATGCCAATCTGAGGAGCCCCAGCAGGTTTCATCGAACGAATCTTCAAAAGAGCATCTTCCGTGAAAAGTGCTATTGGTTTTGTAAACTTCTTTGCTCTCAATTCATCTGGACCGTCTCTGTCACCAGTATATTGTATTTGTACAGTACCAACAGTTGAAATACCACCCATAAAGTCTTCTGAGTCAGCAAATGGAATGCCAAGCCAAAAGTTTGAACGGTCTCCATTTGTATATTGAGTTTTTTGACCTCCTGTATGAGTCCATACTTTCACATATGGCATAATTAGAATTTTGCATTTCAGGGTTAATGGTTGTTGTGAAGTTGTTTGTTAAAGTTCATAGCATCTAATGTCAAGTTGTATGACCTCATATCCTCAACTGTAGAATATTCTTCTCTTGGATAATATTTGCCATCTATGTTTATATGATATTTAATACCAGGGTTGTAGAAACAAGAATAGTCATTTATAGTTCGTCTGAACAGTACAAACATAGTATCTGCATGTTTCATTGCAGTTGTTAAAGCAATATCTGTTCTTGCACCTGCGGCTCCTGGATTTTTGGTTTCCAACTTCACCTGCAAAGTCTTTGACAGATATTTGGTGTATAGGGAACATAAGTGGAACTGCAATATATTTGGCAGCTAAAGCATTTGAAATATCTGGGTCCAACATATAGACTGCAAGTCTGCTTTCTATTCTCTTGCACAAACTATTCGCATGTGAACTTAACTGGGTCCCAAGCAGTTCCAGCAGCATTGAAATAATAGTTTACTTCATTGTTGAAGTTTGAGAAACCAAAGTCTAAGTCAACTTTGTCTTTGCAAAATTCGGCGAATGACGTTTGATTTGTTCCCTTTACGTCTGTAATAGTGAATGGTCTTGTGTTGGTGCAATGACTAAGTTATTTTTGCTTGGAGTAAGTTCGATAGAAATTTTCCTGCCCAGTTTGGCAAGTATCTTAAAAACCTGAAGATGAGGAAAGATGACAAAGGAACTCTAAGTTTCAGTTTTACTTTGGTTATGCTGCTGCAGTTTGTCCAGAAAGGTTAACATAAACTCCTGGAACGTTAGGGTCAAGTCTTCTTATTTTCTCAATAGTTGCATACTGGTCTGTTTGTTCTCTAGCTTGTGGTTGTACTGAGTTTCTCAAAGCGAACCATTCATAGTTTGCCCATGTTACTGTTTGAACTAAGTCAGAGTTAGAATATATCTTATATCCATGAAAACTTCTGGAGCATATTGGTATCCGACATAGAAAATTCCATTGCAACCTTTCTTGTCAGACAATTGCAGAAGGTTTTATTTCAATGTCTTGTTCCACGTATAAGAATGAGTTGTCAATAGAAATAATATGAAACCTGTCGCAAGCAATATCTACTGTTGTTGAAGAACCTTCTCCAAACTCACCTACGTTTCCATAAGAAACAGCAGTTGTATATTCGTAAGTTCCAAGAACTATTTCTGACCTTCTAATGGCATTGTCGCATTCGTTATACCATTCGGAAACATTTCCGTTCATGGCATCCAAAACTGTTGGCGTTATATTCTGAGCGGCGTACATTTCATATGGGTAAAACTATAGAATAGTTGGATTTATATGTCATAATAGAACCCACTCGGACCAAGCTTTACTTTCTTCCTGACTGAGTTTTTAACTGAGTTTTTAACTCTTCTTTTTCCTTCATTGCCACTACTTTCACTAGATGAAGTTACTTCTTCACTACTTTCACTTTGTTCTACTCTTCTCTTCTTCTTTGGTGTCGCTTTTGGTAACTTGCCCTCTGCTTCAAGTTGTTGCATCTTTGCCTCATGTTCACCTAGTATGTTGTAAATTTCCCATGTCTTTTTTGCCTTTGGGCTCTGGTCGCCCATCTCAGGTAACCTATATCCTAGAAAGATTTTGTCATAGTTTGTATTTGAGTCTTCGCGTATTGTTTGCATGACTCTTCCTGAGTTTCCGGTTCAAGCTCTTCAAACAGAGCTTGTCCATATGGAATAAGCTCGTTTCCAATATATGTTTTTGTAGCCATTCTGGTTTTCTTTCCATGTAACCAATAATATCTTTTGTGAATGGGAAAGCTTTTACCCAACGTTTCAGTCTTGCGTCATTTATTTCTGTAGTTGGTTTTATTTTGTCATGGAACATGTTTTTCAATACTAACATTTCATTTGGTACTGTCCATTTGAGTTTTCTTAAATATTCATCCCTTCTCAGTTCATTGTCTGCAAAATAAGTTTTTATGACATTTTGCAAACTTTCGTTTGCAAGGTCATGTACAATAGGTTCTCTTCCTTCTCTCTCCCTAACTCTCTTTCTAAACTCTTCACCAAAATACCATCTCTATGGTTCTGTGTAGTTCTTTGAGATAAATGTTCTAGAACGTCAGGTGTTATATTTCCCTCAGCCATGTTCATTTCATACTGGTCCAAAATATCTGCATCTTTCATATCTTTCAATGGCATTAAAGCCGCGCTGAAATACCCGTTATATCTGGTTCACCATTCACTTCCATTGCGTCTACAACTTCTTGGAATTGAGGTTGTAAGTTTATGAACCACCTATCCGGATTAGCTTTAATGACCCATCTCATTGTAGTTCCATAGTCTGCAGAAACAAAAGTAGGTTTGTTTCCATATTGGTTAGGTTCTGAATGAACTTTAAACAATGTTTCATTTCTATATGTTTTGTTGAAATTAAACCTTTTATTTCACCGAGTTCAGCCAAAGATTGAACGTTATATGGTCGTAAGTAAAAAGGATTATTGTATTTGCGTACATTTTCTTTCAGTACTTCCATTCTATGCTGAATATTTTCATCTGATGTTGGAGTCTTTTGTATGTCGGTGAACATTTTTCGAATATTCTTCTACTATGTCAGCCGAATTTTTCTTAGACTCTTGGAAAGATTCCATATTCCTCATACTCTTGTTGAGGGTCAAGATTTTTCGGCTGTTCCAAATCTTCATCTAGTTCTGTGAAGTTAGTTTCCAAAGGAGGGACTTGTTCGTTTCCTTCAGGCTCTTCTAGCTGTTGTTGCTGAACTATTTCTTCATGTCTGGTTGTATCTGAACTTCTTCCTGTTGAGTTTCTTGTACCTCATCTGCTGGCATTTCATATATTCCGAGACCGTTTTTAACAAGTTCCCTATCTAAGTCATCCGGACTCATAACCTTTCTTCTTTCGTTCCGTCTCTATTTTTTACGCGTTTCATGAAGAGAGTTGAATTATCATTTATCTCTGACATCAATATCTCGGAGTAAATTCATTCATGTCATTTGATGATATGCTATTAAATCATATCCCTTAGCGAGCTTGTATTTTCCACGTTTGAGATTATATCCGATTTGATGCTGAACCATAAAGCTAAATAGTTCGGGTCAGTATTTCCTTCCTTGAACTTTCTAATAGCTTCTTTATATCTGTCACTAAAGTCAAGAGTATCTGGGTAACCATAATCTTCCTTAAGCATTTTTAAGAATTCTTGGTTTCCTTTTTCTCTACTTCTTTATGTCCTTGCTCTGTTTGTGGTTGTTGTTGTGCAGGGTTTTGAACTGTTGGTTGGTTGTTGTTGTTGTGCTGGTTTTGAACTGTTGGTTTTGTGTTGGTTGTTGTTGTTGTGCGGATTTTGAACTGTTGGTTGTTTGTGCAGGGTTTTGAACTGTTGGTTTTGGTTGTTGTTGTTGTGCTGGATTTTGAACTGTTGGTTGTTGTGTTGGTTTTGGTGCATGCCTGTGTCTGTGTCCATGTGACGATGTAAATGTTTTAGGTAGTCCTGGTGCAGGTGCATCTCTTGGAGGGTTTGGTGGTATATAAGTTCCACCCTGGCACATATGTTTCCATCTGCAGCATAATGTCCTACCTGACTTTTCGTTTTTAAGAAAGCATTACTAGGTCTGTTTTGGTCTGTTGTAACTCTTTTTTCTTGACTTTCCACAACAGTTGCTCTAACGGCGTCATAGGCACTTTGAACTGCCTGTCTCGTTGCTGCATCTGTTATTTTCGTCATATTTTGTGCTACTTCTCTTAACTCTTTGTCGAACCTTCAGACTTCAGTTTCTTTCCAGATGAGAAGTCGTTCACTAGTTTCACCTTACTATGAAGAGCTTCGAAGGCATTCTTAAAGTCAGCATTCATTAAAGCTTCATTTGAACTGTCTTCATCCGCTTGTATTTTTGTCCTTATTGACCCTATAAGTTGGGCTGCTTTAGCGTTGGCTTGGGCATCTAACCAGTCATTATTAGCTTTTTATATTCTGCGCTTTTCATTGCCTTTTGCATGGCTGCGTCGTTATTTTTACTTTCTTGTGCTAAGTTTTCATACTGTACGGTTTGGTTTTGCAACTGTAAAAGTTTTTCTGCCTTTACATTTGCTTCAACTTCTTTTTTATACTCATCGCTATCCATATATGTCTTCATGGCTTTTTGTTTTATCTCTTCATCTTTCAGTACTTTATATTGAGTAGTATGGTTTTTCAAATTTATAACATCTTGTTCCATTTTTGCTACTTCTGCTGCTTTTTCTGACACTTTTTTCGCATATTCCTCTGTACTTAGTTCTTTCAGTTGTTCTTCTTTCTTCTTTTTCTCTACGTTTAACTCATTGAGTTTCTTTGTGTGTCTGTCATATTCTAGTTTCTTTTCGTTTTCACTTATTTGTTTCTGTATGTCTATGTTTGACTTTTTGACATCTGTTATTTGATTTTTGAGTGAACTCAAATTCATTTGACTTTGAGGGTTATAAGCTGTTCCGTCTGCAGCTCCACCATAGCCTGCCATTTTCGCTAAAAGTGCCGCTCTTAAACCTCCACTCTGTGCACCAATAACTCGGTTTAAAAGCATAGGGTTGCTTGACATTTGTTGCAACATAGTGGGGTCATTCATCATTTGTTGTTGCAACTGTTGTTGTGGTGTCAGTTTTACTATTGGATGTTTCAATGCTCCCTTCCTCTTACGTATATTCTTACGTAGCTTACGTGGCATTTTAAGTGAAGTAAAAAACGGTTTTTGACAGATGTTTATATGACACTTTTTGTTCAGCACAAAAAACTACTCGGTCAAAGTGTTGTCAGTTTTGTAAAATAACCGTCCGATCTCATTCTATAAGGGGAAAAGGCTTCTCAAAGTATACTTCCTTGGAACGCCTGTAACTTTTCCTGTAGCGACGAGAGACCATTACTTGTCCGGACAAAGTTATACTATTTCGAGTGCTCTACAAAAAAGTCAACGGCTGGCTCGTCCTCAGAAATTTTTTATGGGCTAGAGGGCGCAACGCGCCTGGAAGCCCTCCGAATAAAAACTTCATTTATACTAAACATCTTCGGGGCTAGAGGGCGCAACGCGCCTGGAAGCCCTCCGAATAAAAACTTCATTTATACTAAACATCTTCGGGGCTAGAGGGCGCAACGCGCCTGGAAGCCCTCCGAATAAAAACTTCATTTATACTAAACATCTTCGGGGCTAGAGGGCGCAACGCGCCTGGAAGCCCTCCGAATAAAAACTTCATTTATACTAAACATCTTCGGGGCTAGAGGGCGCAACGCGCCTGGAAGCCCTCCGAATAAAAACTTCATTTATACTAAACATCTTCGGGGCTAGAGGGCGCAACGCGCCTGGAAGCCCTCCGAATAAAAACTTCATTTATACTAAACATCTTCGGGGCTAGAGGGCGCAACGCGCCTGGAAGCCCTCCGAATAAAAACTTCATTTATACTAAACATCTTCGGGGCTAGAGGGCGCAACGCGCCTGGAAGCCCTCCGAATAAAAACTTCATTTATACTAAACATCTTCGGGGCTAGAGGGCGCAACGCGCCTGGAAGCCCTCCGAATAAAAACTTCATTTATACTAAACATCTTCGGGGCTAGAGGGCGCAACGCGCCTGGAAGCCCTCCGAATAAAAACTTCATTTATACTAAACATCTTCGGGCTAGAGGGCGCAACGCGCCTGGAAGCCCTCCGAATAAAAACTTCATTTATACTAAACATCTTCGGGGCTAGAGGGCGCAACGCGCCTGGAAGCCCTCCGAATAAAAACTTCATTTATACTAAACATCTTCGGGCTAGAGGGCGCAACGCGCCTGGAAGCCCTCCGAATAAAAACTTCATTTATACTAAACATCTTCGGGGCTAGAGGGCGCAACGCGCCTGGAAGCCCTCCGAATAAAAACTTCATTTATACTAAACATCTTCGGGGCTAGAGGGCGCAACGCGCCTGGAAGCCCTCCGAATAAAAACTTCATTTATACTAAACATCTTCGGGGCTAGAGGGCGCAACGCGCCTGGAAGCCCTCCGAATAAAAACTTCATTTATACTAAACATCTTCGGGGCTAGAGGGCGCAACGCGCCTGGAAGCCCTCCGAATAAAAACTTCATTTATACTAAACATCTTCGGGGCTAGAGGGCGCAACGCGCCTGGAAGCCCTCCGAATAAAAACTTCATTTATACTAAACATCTTCGGGGCTAGAGGGCGCAACGCGCCTGGAAGCCCTCCGAATAAAAACTTCATTTATACTAAACATCTTCGGGGCTAGAGGGCGCAACGCGCCTGGAAGCCCCCGAATAAAAACTTCATTTATACTAAACATCTTCGGGGCTAGAGGGCGCAACGCGCCTGGAAGCCCTCCGAATAAAAACTTCATTTATACTAAACATCTTCGGGGCTAGAGGGCGCAACGCGCCTGGAAGCCCTCCGAATAAAAACTTCATTTATACTAAACATCTTCGGGGCTAGAGGGCGCAACGCGCCTGGAAGCCCTCCGAATAAAAACTTCATTTATACTAAACATCTTCGGGGCTAGAGGGCGCAACGCGCCTGGAAGCCCTCCGAATAAAAACTTCATTTATACTAAACATCTTCGGGGCTAGAGGGCGCAACGCGCCTGGAAGCCCTCCGAATAAAAACTTCATTTATACTAAACATCTTCGGGGCTAGAGGGCGCAACGCGCCTGGAAGCCCTCCGAATAAAAACTTCATTTATACTAAACATCTTCGGGGCTAGAGGGCGCAACGCGCCTGGAAGCCCTCCGAATAAAAACTTCATTTATACTAAACATCTTCGGGGCTAGAGGGCGCAACGCGCCTGGAAGCCCTCCGAATAAAAACTTCATTTATACTAAACATCTTCGGGGCTAGAGGGCGCAACGCGCCTGGAAGCCCTCCGAATAAAAACTTCATTTATACTAAACATCTTCGGGGCTAGAGGGCGCAACGCGCCTGGAAGCCCTCCGAATAAAACTTCATTTATACTAAACATCTTCGGGGCTAGAGGGCGCAACGCGCCTGGAAGCCCTCCGAATAAAACTTCATTTATACTAAACATCTTCGGGGCTAGAGGGCGCAACGCGCCTGGAAGCCCTCCGAATAAAAACTTCATTTATACTAAACATCTTCGGGGCTAGAGGGCGCAACGCGCCTGGAAGCCCTCCGAATAAAAACTTCATTTATACTAAACATCTTCGGGGCTAGAGGGCGCAACGCGCCTGGAAGCCCTCCGAATAAAAACTTCATTTATACTAAACATCTTCGGGCTAGAGGGCGCAACGCGCCTGGAAGCCCTCCGAATAAAACTTCATTTATACTAAACATCTTCGGGGCTAGAGGCGCAACGCGCCTGGAAGCCCTCCGAATAAAAACTTCATTTATACTAAACATCTTCGGGGCTAGAGGGCGCAACGCGCCTGGAAGCCCTCCGAATAAAAACTTCATTTATACTAAACATCTTCGGGGCTAGAGGGCGCAACGCGCCTGGAAGCCCTCCGAATAAAAACTTCATTTATACTAAACATCTTCGGGGCTAGAGGGCGCAACGCGCCTGGAAGCCCTCCGAATAAAAACTTCATTTATACTAAACATCTTCGGGGCTAGAGGGCGCAACGCGCCTGGAAGCCCTCCGAATAAAAACTTCATTTATACTAAACATCTTCGGGGCTAGAGGGCGCAACGCGCCTGGAAGCCCTCCGAATAAAAACTTCATTTATACTAAACATCTTCGGGGCTAGAGGGCGCAACGCGCCTGGAAGCCCTCCGAATAAAAACTTCATTTATACTAAACATCTTCGGGGCTAGAGGGCGCAACGCGCCTGGAAGCCCTCCGAATAAAAACTTCATTTATACTAAACATCTTCGGGGCTAGAGGGCGCAACGCGCCTGGAAGCCCTCCGAATAAAAACTTCATTTATACTAAACATCTTCGGGGCTAGAGGGCGCAACGCGCCTGGAAGCCCTCCGAATAAAAACTTCATTTATACTAAACATCTTCGGGGCTAGAGGGCGCAACGCGCCTGGAAGCCCTCCGAATAAAAACTTCATTTATACTAAACATCTTCGGGGCTAGAGGGCGCAACGCGCCTGGAAGCCCTCCGAATAAAAACTTCATTTATACTAAACATCTTCGGGCTAGAGGGCGCAACGCGCCTGGAAGCCCTCCGAATAAAAACTTCATTTATACTAAACATCTTCGGGGCTAGAGGGCGCAACGCGCCTGGAAGCCCTCCGAATAAAAACTTCATTTATACTAAACATCTTCGGGGCTAGAGGGCGCAACGCGCCTGGAAGCCCTCCGAATAAAAACTTCATTTATACTAAACATCTTCGGGGCTAGAGGGCGCAACGCGCCTGGAAGCCCTCCGAATAAAAACTTCATTTATACTAAACATCTTCGGGGCTAGAGGGCGCAACGCGCCTGGAAGCCCTCCGAATAAAAACTTCATTTATACTAAACATCTTCGGGGCTAGAGGGCGCAACGCGCCTGGAAGCCCTCCGAATAAAAACTTCATTTATACTAAACATCTTCGGGGCTAGAGGGCGCAACGCGCCTGGAAGCCCTCCGAATAAAAACTTCATTTATACTAAACATCTTCGGGGCTAGAGGGCGCAACGCGCCTGGAAGCCCTCCGAATAAAAACTTCATTTATACTAAACATCTTCGGGGCTAGAGGGCGCAACGCGCCTGGAAGCCCTCCGAATAAAAACTTCATTTATACTAAACATCTTCGGGGCTAGAGGGCGCAACGCGCCTGGAAGCCCTCCGAATAAAAACTTCATTTATACTAAACATCTTCGGGGCTAGAGGGCGCAACGCGCCTGGAAGCCCTCCGAATAAAAACTTCATTTATACTAAACATCTTCGGGGCTAGAGGGCGCAACGCGCCTGGAAGCCCTCCGAATAAAAACTTCATTTATACTAAACATCTTCGGGGCTAGAGGGCGCAACGCGCCTGGAAGCCCTCCGAATAAAAACTTCATTTATACTAAACATCTTCGGGGCTAGAGGGCGCAACGCGCCTGGAAGCCCTCCGAATAAAAACTTCATTTATACTAAACATCTTCGGGGCTAGAGGGCGCAACGCGCCTGGAAGCCCTCCGAATAAAAACTTCATTTATACTAAACATCTTCGGGGCTAGAGGGCGCAACGCGCCTGGAAGCCCTCCGAATAAAAACTTCATTTATACTAAACATCTTCGGGGCTAGAGGGCGCAACGCGCCTGGAAGCCCTCCGAATAAAAACTTCATTTATACTAAACATCTTCGGGGCTAGAGGGCGCAACGCGCCTGGAAGCCCTCCGAATAAAAACTTCATTTATACTAAACATCTTCGGGGCTAGAGGGCGCAACGCGCCTGGAAGCCCTCCGAATAAAAACTTCATTTATACTAAACATCTTCGGGGCTAGAGGGCGCAACGCGCCTGGAAGCCCTCCGAATAAAAACTTCATTTATACTAAACATCTTCGGGGCTAGAGGGCGCAACGCGCCTGGAAGCCCTCCGAATAAAAACTTCATTTATACTAAACATCTTCGGGGCTAGAGGGCGCAACGCGCCTGGAAGCCCTCCGAATAAAAACTTCATTTATACTAAACATCTTCGGGGCTAGAGGGCGCAACGCGCCTGGAAGCCCTCCGAATAAAAACTTCATTTATACTAAACATCTTCGGGGCTAGAGGGCGCAACGCGCCTGGAAGCCCCACTACCTTTTTTTTTAACTTAAGAAAAAATCATATTTTTAGAGAATTATCCCTTATAATAAGATTAAAAAAAATTAAACTGTTTTCAATCATCATCATCACCAGCTCCATAGAACTTGTGTTTGCGATAGATGACACATTTTGCAAGCCATTTGACACCACCAAGATATGACCACAAATCGCTGCCAACATCTCCACCTTGAAGACCTTTGATTAAGGATGGGCACTCATAGGCTCCTGACAGCATAAAAATGTTATTATCTCACAATATAAAAGGAATCATAGGAATCTACAACTATATCTATATTGTTGGAAGACTTCTTAATGTATCATGCATATAAGTTATATCAATAACTCCATTATGTTATATGATTGTAATCATATTTTCGTTTCATGTTCAAAAACATTAAAATCATACTAACTATATGAGTATTATATTTAGGAAGCTGATATATAGATATGATAAAATGCTAGGTTTTGTTATTAAGAATATATACTTATCTTTTAGAAAATAATACTTTTATAAAAAATTATATCTTATATAATCTAAAAATTTTGGACAATTAAAAAACATTAATTAAAAATAGAAGGTGAAAGTGTTTATTCAAAGAAGGTGCAAGATTATGATGTTTTGAGGGTGAAATAAATTTAATAATTATTTATGTGATTTAAGAGTAATACGATCATCGGTAGCTTGAAGACCTCTCTTTATAGCTCTTAATGCCGCAAACTTTTTTTGAACTTGCTTTGAATTTTTGAATGCTTTGATTAAATCTTTTGTTGTATCATACATTCTGAAATATCTGTTCATCATTTCTGGCATTGTTGGTAAATTTAACCTGTATCTTATTGCTACAATCGTTTCAAACATACTTTCATTGAAATGCAATATTGTGACTGCCATCCTAATTGGCCAAGAAGCATGCCAATTAATATTTTTATTAGCAAGCATTGCTTTGATATGGTTTATCGATTCAACTACTTGAGTTGAATGAATCTTTTTTACCATATCAAAGATTTTTACGGTATCTTCGAGGAATTTTTTAAGTGTTTTTATAGCAGTTTTATTTTTTGCATATTTCCATGGTTTAATCATCTTGCATTTTTCAGGATCTGGACAAAATTTATGATTTCCGGCATAATGTTTAGCGGAATTCAACCATAAAAACTTCTTTGTTTTAATTGACATATGTGTGTCATTGAGAAGTTGCCTAAGCCAACGCAATAAATTCTTTGAAATGCTAGATAAGATTCTGAATTCTGGCAGTTTGAGCTTTTTCTGTATATTGTTAAGAAAATGTCCAGGATCTCTGTATTCTCTGATACCTTTGAACGTATTTTTGATTGTAGAAACAATTTTGACATCGCCATCATGCACAAAAAAATTTACACGTTTTTCATTATTCCAACGCTTCAGCATTCTTTTTAAGCCTTCAAATTCCATTTCATTTGATTTTCCGTTGAAATTACCTTTGAAATTTTTAAAAGATTTAGATATCACTTCCCAATCTACAATTTTTTTGAGTTTCTCTTCTACAAATTGTACATAGCAAAACATTGCATTTCTTCTCTGACTCCAAGAACCGTCAAACAAAAGTCCCGAACATTTTCTCATTCGAGATTTCCAATAATTAACAGATTCTCTGGCAACTTCTATGATAACACGACCAACCTTTTCTTGGACTCGATGAAATGTAGCTTCTGACGGAACTTTGATGTTATTCAGCATGAATTGAAATTCTGATTGGCAAAATGTAGCGCCGCTCAATAATACAGATAGCACAAATTCAACAGTGTTGACGACATATGGCTCTACCCTATTTTTCGCGCTTTGAACTAAGTTCTTTATACGCTTTGCAACTGCTTTTGTTCGCCGCGGCATGAAAAATGAAGAATAACTTGACGGTTTCTTGAACAAATGGTCGCACATTCAAATATTGTGATGTACGATCAGGATAAAAGAATGTTGTTGCCGTGAATTTAGAAAATAGCAAAATTTCAATTTACGCAATCGAGATATAACTTGATCGTTTGAGCGATAACCATGGCACCCATAGTATTAATGAAAGTACTCATACTTACAATTATTTTCTCCCATAGGAATATTGTTCAATATACTTCACCTATAGAGGAAATCTCGAAATAAAATCGAATTTTTTCAAAAATTACAAAAATCAATTTTTTACAAAGATGTTCGAAAAATAACATTATATACGCATCAAATCAAAGCATTATATGGAGCATTATAATTCTATATATGATTGTCCATCTTGCTGTTGTGCTATTTTTTTTAAACAATAATTTCATTGTTGAAATTAAATTTGCAATTTCAGTAAAAATTGCGACCCATCATTTTGAATATAATTGAATTAATACATTTATTGTAAGAATATTATATACCAAATATTAGACTTCCACATGAATCCTGGTATGATATTATAAGTATTGCAAAATTAGAAAAAAATTTGCTCATGATATACTAAAATTCATGTTTCAAGGTTAACTTATAAATAAAATAAGTTCGAGAAATGCATCACTAAATATTTGAGCTTGTGCACTATAATGCTATATAATAGTCTTCACTGTTTTTAATATATTGACTTTGCTAGACTTGATTTTTTTCATCACCCTAATGAGTGCCCATCCTTAAACCATCAGGAACAATGTAAGTAATTTCATCGTCGAGCATGAACCAAACTCTTCCTTTGTTGACGAAGGCAACGAAATGACCTTGATGATAAGCAATAATGGAATGTATCTTAAATACATACGTTCCATCACTGAGTTGAGTTTTGTAGTTCTTCTTGATCTCAAATTTGTCAAAGAAGACATTTGGATCAGACCAATTCCTCTGAACGTCGACCCAGAGGAATGTTGAGATTTCATTGATATGAGAATCATCTGTGCACATCTGTTTAATTCCTTGATCAATACCTGCTGCACCAAGAGGAATGTGAAGCGAAACCGAATAGAAGCTTTCATCAGGAGTCTCAGTTTGATATTGGAATGTAACGGCAATATCTGGTTTGTTTGCTGATTCCGTAACATCATGTACAATCTTTTGAAATGTGTCATCGGCATCTTGCTGCTGGAAGTATTGCTTGCCGAGTGTTGTGATGAATTGTGAGCATGAAATTGTGTATTCCTTGTGGCGGTAGTGCAACATCTGATCATAAATTTCGGCAAGTGCTTTCACTGGCGTATATTCGACATCTCCCAAATGCTCCATTACATCTTTTCTGAAAGTATTTACGTAGAACAAAACTTGCAAAACGGCATTGACATGGCAGGTAGCTCCCTCATTATGTAATCCTGGAATTGACATTTTTGTTTCGATGTTGTAGATTGCATTTTGTGTTCTTTTAACAAGTATCTTATCAATCTTTTCATATCCAGCTAGTGGAGATGGAATCTTCATTGGAGTTTCTGGAGTTTGGAGATAAAGATCTTTTGGAACACATCTTGGCTTTGGCATTGGGCTTCCTGAACCATTTGGTTCTGGTGTTGCTGCAGCTTCTTTTTCATCTTTTGGAGTGCAAGGAAAATCGCAGTTATCCTTCTCACTGAGAGGTGTGGAATCGATGTGATAGTTATCTAAAGCAAACAATCCTTGAACAATAAGTGGAAGATTGCCTTTTTCACCACGATATCCTATTGCCAAGACACTCCAATTACTTTTATCGCGTGCAAAGCGGCGTTCGACAATTTGGCGATCATGTGCAATCGCATTATTGCGTTTTGTAACTTCTTCGTCATCACCTCTTTGCATAATGACGGCTGTTGGATGGTATTTCTGAATACCGATGTAACCTCTATCTGCAAGAAGTCCTAATGCAACAGATTCAACTCCACGTTGGACATGTAAAAAATCTGAAGCTCCTGATAAATCAAATACTTTCTTATCGTGAACTGAAGCTAAAAAACTTGTATTCATGTGAATTACCTGTCCTAAAGGATTAACAAGAACTTGAACCTTCATACCATTGCAATGGTTTTTAGCATCCCATGAACTTTTACGCTCAGCAAGATCAAGAGGAACGGTAAAAGGAATAGTAGAGCTATCAACTGCAGCAACACATGTTGGAAAGTTATCGAACTCCTTGTCACAGGGAGAATATTGTTTTGGAATGAATTCAGCAATGAAAATTGGGAACATCCTGTTTGTTGTTTTGTTAATGATTTTGCTGAGGTAACTCTGTTTCAAACTAACAATTCCTGACATTTTTTGCAATGGAAGATAAGTGCAATAGTAAGTTAATGTTAGGAATAACGCATCTAATGGATCACAACCGTTTTTCCGACCGCGTCTGGATGAAAACTCATGCTCGCGAACAACATCAACTAAATACAAGAGTTGATCCAAAGAAAAGTTACAAAGGTCTTTGACATTTAAGATTGGGTGTGCCTCAAGGAATTTTTGTAAGCTAAACTTTCTGACAACTTTAAATTCTTCGGCATTAGCTGGTGCTTGATTTTCATCTTCACTTGCGGGCTCTGATTCATCAAGATAAGCTAAGTGCATTTGCATTCTCACGATTTCCTTGGATCGGGTTTTGGACTTCTGGATATCATCCAAGAACTCGGAATCATCCTTGTACTCCATTAATGAAAGTGATATGAACATTTCTTCTAAGAGTTTTCATTCAATTCATGTTTTTAAGAAGTTAGTGAATTAATTTTCATATCTCAGAAATTCGAAAAATAGTTGTTTAACACAAAAATTGATCAAATGCTTCTCTAATTATCTAAATAGCTAAAATTGTAAATTCAAGATATTTGACACAAATTCAATTTTGACGGTTTGAAACAGTGCGTTTATTCTTCCGTTTATTTCTAAAAGCATAGCATTTTTATTAAATATGATTCTAATAATATTTTTGGATTAAACAGATATCTGTGGTCAATTCTATTGATTTTTTTTCCACTCGGAATACATTTTTAAGATATGTAATTTGATCCCACTACTATCAAATGATTAATGCATATAAAAAAAGCAATTACATTTAAAAAAACGAACTATTGAAAAATTGACAGTTGACGGTATAGTTTCAATTTTTTGAATTGATATCGACTATTTTAAAAATGAAACTCTTTTGGAGTTTTTTATGCATCAAAAGGTATTAGTACACACATATATATAAGATCTAGTAATTCGGTTAAGCATTGAAGGTAATTCAAAGGTTTAGATTTTGATATTTGTTTTGTTTGAATACTCTACATGTATATTTAGACTTCATACAAAGTTCCAAAGGTCTATAAACATAGAAAAAATTTAGGATATGGTAATAAATTTGGTTCGTAAAATTGAAAGGAAAATTTTATCTATTCATATATTTAGAACCATCATGTTAAATATATCTATTAATGACTAATATTGCCAAAGGAGAAGGGAAAATTTTATAAAATTTTATCATATTAAGGTATAAAACTATTATTTCCTATATATTTATGAATCAAATAGTAAGATAATCACTCTTTGTTAGACTAAATTAAATGAAAAAAGTCTAAATTGTATGATCGTCTAAACTCAGTATAACCTATACCAAAGCTTATTAATGGCTTATGCAAATATACAGCTGATGTTAGCTTAGTTTTTGACCAAAATACAAAAAAAAATTATGAGTACAATATGATCAAATTTTTATAAAAGCAGCCGAAAACAGCATTCAATTGGAATGGTATTATCAATGATAATCATTCAAGACACTTTTATCAAAAAATTTACATAAATCTTTTTCAAAACAGAGTATTTTTGCAAAAATTTCATCGAAAAGATAGCTTTGTCTAATAAAAATGATATGGTACGGAAAATCTATTGAAAATAATCTGAGGAATTTGAAATTCATTAAAAAGTCTTGAAAAAAGTGAATGCATTCATGAATGTCCCATATCCATTTTATCCTAGTTGTTTCATAATTCCATATTGCCGATTCCTATTCCTGTTTTTGGTGCTTTACTATGATAACCAAATTGATTTGGTTATCATAGTAAAGAGACCATTATCATGCTTAGAATTAATTATGTTTAGGGTCGGTTTATTGGAATAAGGAAGTTTATAATACGTGAACACTTGTTTCCTCATCGAAAAGTCATAACGCATAAAGTCGATGTTTCCTTAGTACAAAAAGTGACATATGACGCTTAACTCTTTATTCCAGATAATGACCATATTTATGGGATTAAAAGTTTAGGAAGCTTCTCCCCAATTCCTTATTGAGTATATCTAAAAATATCAATACATGTGTAACGTATAAAATAATGTGACCCATTCAATTTTAAAAATATTTTCAAAAGTAAAATCGGTTGTTCTTTTCGTTAGTCGATTCAATATAGATCATTTTATTATTCAAAACAATTCATTTTATCATAATTATTCGACCAAGTTTTTAATTTGTGAGGAAGCTTATTGTTTTTCGATTCGTCTAATTTTTAATATTTATTTCACATTTTATTGATTCATCAGCATTGGGGAGAAGCTTCCTAAACTTTTAATCCCATAAATATGGTCATTATCTGGAATAAAGAGTTAAGCGTCATATGTCACTTTTTGTACTAAGGAAACATCGACTTTATGCGTTATGACTTTTCGATGAGGAAACAAGTGTTCACGTATTATAAACTTCCTTATTCCAATAAACCGACCCTAAACATAATTCTAAGCATGATAATGGTCTCTTTTCTATGATAACCAAATCAATTTGGTTATCATAGTAAAGCACCAAAAACTGGAATAGGAATAACCGCAATTAAACAGGAATAGGCAGTGTGGAAACTAGAGAAGACTCAACTGATTTTTTAAGCAACTCTTCTTGCCGATTCAAATCTGCTTTGCTAATCATTGTATATTACTATATTCTGATTAGGATACTTTAACGCTTGATGCATGCACATCATTCTTTTAGCTGATTTCTAAAATACAATCTTCTATTAATTTTGAAATTTCTTCAAAAGTTATAGTAATTCCATAGTTCATTCGTAAAATGTTATTAAATAGCTCTGACTATTCCTTTGCACGCAAAATGAGGTAGTATTTTTTGAATTTTTTACTCAAAATAAAACAAAATCTACCCAATTTTATACCACTAAAGCCTATATTGACACACACATATATAAATCTTTATTGTTATAAGATAAATTTGAAAAAATAAATTTTTTTCCTAAAATGTAAAATTATACTTGTATTCAAAGAAAGTAGATTGTTTATAAGGAAGGTATTATATATTTGGGGAGAAAATCCCTTACAATATACAAAAATATGAAAGAATATTCAATCATCAGGAAAGAGCTTAGTACTAACCATTTGTGAGACGTTCATATAATATCTTTTTCCTTTTTGGGGTTTTTAATCGGATTATCCATTTCCCTGCATTGACTTTAATTCATTCTTGATGATCTGAGTATACATGATCATTATCGAACGTTTGCCATACTCTTCCACAGTTAATGATTGCTGAAAAATGAATAGTACTGAATAACAGCTGGAATTTCATAAGTATTTTGCGTATTTATACTGATTTAAACATGAAATACTCATACAAAATGCAAAGTTTTTAAAAACAATCAATAAAAGATTTTAAATTAGATAAAATATCATATGTCACTTCTTTTTTCATCTGGATAATAAAATTGATAAATTTTTTTCTAATTAAAGATAAAGATGCATTTATAGTAGTCGAAAATTAATTTCTAGACTAAAGCTTGTTTATTGTAACCGTTTTAAGTCTAAATTTATAGGAAATGGTTATTTTATTATGCATTAAAAGTTCTTCTATAAAATTAACATTAAAATCATCTTTCGCCTAAGAGTAATAACAAGGTTATGCAAATTTTATTGAAAATAGTACGAGAATTTTGTTTGAAAATATAATATGGTTAAAAATAGGGAATGGATGTATGAATGTTCCATATTTATTTTATCCGAGTTGCTTCATGATTCCATATTGCCGATTCCTATTCCTGTTTTTGGTGCTTTACTATGATAACCAAATTGATTTGGTTATCATAGAAAAGAGACCATTATCATGCTTAGAATTAATTATGTTTAGGGTCGGTTTATTGGAATAAGGAAGTTTATAATACGTGAACACTTGTTTCCTCATCGAAAAGTCATAACGCATAAAGTCGATGTTTCCTTAGTACAAAAAGTGACATATGACGCTTAACTCTTTATTCCAGATAATGACCATATTTATGGGATTAAAAGTTTAGGAAGCTTCTCCCCATTCTACTTTTTAAGATCGGCTATGCATTGAAAAGAAAGAAATTCATTAGTACAAAAAAGGTTCCATATTTCACTTTAATGACCGATCAAATATATAACACTTCAGGGAAATATGCGTTTTCAAAACAATACCATTACACACCATCGTTTTTGGAGATAAGATGAAATAAATCTCTTTTTTCAAGCTATAATTTTTATCTATTTTTGTAAATAAGATGTGTAAGTGAGTTTTTGCAAAAATTTAGACCGAACATTCATTATCTTTTTCCATCTCATGTTTTGAAATCTTTTTAGACTTATTTCTACATATCTATCAAACTACATAATCGGTACTTATATCATGTTTCTTTTAAATAAACTGTAATCGGTATGTAAAAGTTTTACGATTAATATTAGGGAGCAAAGCCGAAGAATATGTAGTTTGTACATATATAAGATGATTTCCAAATAAGTACTGGTTATTAACACATGTATAATGTTTAACTTCTCATATATATTGTCAATTATTAAGTATTTAATTGAGATTCATGCCAAATTTCATAATATTTTACGACAGATGTGCAATTAAAATAAAAAGTAAATTTCAATATTTCAATATTTACAAAAAAATATAAAAGAATAAAAATTAGAATCAATTGTCGCCTTCATTTAATATTTCATTAAGTATTGCGATTCTTCTAGACAAATCTGCTTGTTTCTCAATGATATTTGCTGTTGCAATTCTTGTATTTCTCTTCATTTTGTCAGCGATGTTATTAGTATTTACTTCAGAGAATTTCTTGACCATTTCTCTTGAATCTCCAACACGTAATAACTCGTCGACATGAGCTTCAACAGCCTCTCTTGTACTTGACGGGAACAAGCCAGGAGTGTGGCAATACTTTGCAATAATTGGAGGCAACCTTGATTGTTTCATTGATGGAATAACTGTTGTTTGAGAAGAATCATTTGTTTCTTGAACGAAGTTTTCTTCATTCTTCTTCTTTTCTTCAGGAATTTCGTATGGACTTAATGAATTCAAGTGTCTTGTCATCTCTTCTCTCAAGTTCTCTGTACTTATTGTGTATTTCTTGCTCATTTCTTCAATTGATTCTTGTCTTCCTCTGAATTCTTGTCCCAAATGAAGAGAAATCTCTTCTCCGACTCTGAGACTTTCCAGTTCTTTCTTGAGTTCTTGCAATAGATTCTTCTTGCGTTCAACACGTTCTGAAACAACTTTCTGACGTGCTTCAAGTCCGCAGAATTCCATGCAATCACTCCTTAATTCACTCACTTCATCAACAGTTTCTTCGTATTTTTTACTTAGTTGTTGCAAATCTTGATGCCATTTCGTGATGTTTTCACGTAATTGCTTACGAAGATTTGTCTGTCTACGCTCTTGCTGTAATACACTGTTCTGTAATTGTTGTAATTCGTGAAGTGAAGTCGAATTTGGAATGTCTCTTTTTTCATCATTTGACAAATTATTTTGACTAAGATTTTGGAGAGATTTCTCTTCAATCAAAGCCTGTGCGATGTCATTCTGGATATCCAGAGAAAGCAATTCTTTCGGTGCACTGATATCTGATTGCGAAATCTCGTAATTTTCATCCAAAATCTTTTCAACGACACTTTTTTGAGAAGAAATGCAGAAATTGATGTAATCATCATTGGAATACTCAATTGCAGACTGCATAGGAAGTGTCGGAGGACGGACAGAGCGAGAGAGAACCAAATAATCAGGGATTATTACAAAAGGAGATGAAAGAGGTACGAAATTGAAGCTCAAAGTGAAAGTTGACAAGAAACTGTTGACATCTGATGAAATGTTCTGGTAAATCATGAACGTGTTCAGAGTGGATATGATTTGGACATAGAATGGATAAACATTCTGTGATTTCAACTTTTCTTTCAAAAGATTTGACAAATTTATGAATTTTTCTTTGTCAAATGTCTCAGGATTGGCCAATTCATCGAATTTCTGTATCAACTCTCCATTCTTTTCATCTTCTTCAAGAACTAATGACACCGCTGTCGATAAAATAGTTTTTGATTTTTTGATGAAGAAGGAAGGATCAGTTCTGTTAAGAATATCAATGATATTGAGGAAAGAGACCTTAACTTTGTCGAAATCTTCGTCATTCATGTTGAAATTAATTTCATCATTCAGAAATCTCTTGATAGAAATGATTTCATGAGCAACAACGTTGTTATCTCCAAAGACACCACATGTATTCATGTAAAGCATCTCTGAACAGAAGAAATCCATGAATTGTTTGTAATTAAACGCTTTCAATGTTGATGATTTCCTCTCCAACGTGTTTATGTTGGTCGATATCAAGTTAATGAGGCCAAGGAACAAGAAACAAAGTATTGAATTTGATATATCTTTTTTGATTTGTCCGAAATCAACGTCGGGGTGGTCAATCGATAGGTTACATACTTCTATGCATATGTTATGTAACACATCCAGTGAAAATCCACCTCTTACGAGTTGATCGAATAATTTATTCAAATCTTGACCGTTTTCTTTAACATTTCCCAAGATTTGGCGGATCTGGACATTCATATCATCAAAGATCTGTTCAGATTTGAAAACAAAGCTATTTCTGAACGAATCAAATTCTTCAATTTTAATTTCCTCAAAATCTGTTTGAATTAAACCCAACTCATGTTTCAAGGGCTTCAAGAACTTATTGAGGTTCTCAAGAGTTTTATCCAATGTCACTTTGTTCTTTTCTAAATCGAAATCAAAGAAATTTCTTAAATATTTGACACTTTTTGCCATTCTTTCTTCTTCTTCAGATCTTTTGTTCATTCTCTCGATAGAAGACTTCAAATTATCAAAATCTTTGAGATATATTGAGGAAATGTCTATACACTTGACCTGGCCGAGATTTGAACATAATATCCAATCTAAAATGGTAGAAAAATCTTTGATGTCACTTTTGTTTTTAAGGTTAAATAAATAATCGATAATTTTCAAAGTATTATCGAATGACAACTGCAGAATTGATTTGAATTCTTCGTTGTCGAAAAATTGATGAAATTCCGAAATTTTTTCTGTTACTTTTTGGAATTTTTCAATTTTATCAAATAATTTTGCGTTTGACATCAAATCTTCCTTGAAACAGATGTGTGAGTATGTTCTTATGTACATGAGGTGCATGGCAGCAGTGTAATCTATCACTCCGCAGAAATCTAGAACGGAAATCCAGTTGTAAGCGTTGGAAATCATATTTAATGATTCGTAAATTTTTCTTGGTTGGTTTTCTCCGAAGAATTCGCAACTTAAAACGATTCTGGAGCATTCGTGTAGGCATTTACGGAATACTGATAAAGAACTGGGACTCCTCAATATGGCATTCAAGTTGAAATAGAAGTTGTTTGAGAAAATTTTCGTAAAATCTGGTTTTCTCATTTCTTCCAAAAGAAAAGTGAACTCTTTATAGAGATCTGGCACGATTAAGTCCTTCTCAGTGATATGGTATCCATCTCCAACTTCATCTACAACACCTTCTGATGGTAATCTCGTCAAAATAGTGTTTAATAAGTCTGATGTGTTCTTATCAATGTTTTCCATGTTGAGTTGGCCGAAATTAGCATGTGCAAGTGATGTAATGATAGGATTCATTACAATTGGAAGCGTTGTTTTAAGTGGCTCGGTTAATAATTTATTAAGTTGGGAAATGAAGTCAAAAGCATGGTCCAATGACTCGTATAATAGGTCTATCTTCTCAAGGCATGCATGGATAAGGTCTCTGTGTGCAAATGCTTTGGTTGTATGCGATCCAAAATTGATTGTATCTGTAGACTTGATCAGGGACTTGATTTGAGCCTGGTTTTGGCGTATTTGGGCGGAGTTTACGGTCGAATTCTTCGGATCGAAGTACGAAACAATGAAAGAAGACAAGTTACTGTAATATTCTCTCATTTCTGAGGAAGTAATACGATTTGTAAGTAGTATTTCGATTCTGTTGGAGAAATTGGCCAATCTGAGCATCTCAAAGTAGATGTCGAGTATACGATATGTCATTGTATATTTTGAATTTTTTCGAAACTCCTCGGAAATGGTCTGTACTTCCTCGTTCGTATGAGCATTTTGGAAGATCGCGAGAATAGTTTCCGGTATCTCTACTTGCTGTTTGATTTTGACAATGGATTCTGCTGGAGATCCAATGATCTCGTTTGCAAGTTCGACCGAAAAGGCTTCTAGTATGAAGAAAGCACGGACTTGAATTGTTTTACGTATCATGTCGTTGAAAATAAGCTCGATTTTCTCTTTGATTTCATCGGAATAATTTTCTGTTGATTGTAAGAAGACAACAGCGATGTCATGCATTTGTCCGAGGTTGTTTATGAGTTTATCAACATCAGAAATCTGTCTTTGGTTGATTAAAGTACGAATAACTTGCTTACATTCTTTCCTTTTGTCTAAGTACTGCTTAAGTGATTTTTCATCGATCGATTGACTTGTTTTCATGATATTGATTACTTCGTTTTTGCCGAAAAAGTACTCAGCGAGATTTTCTGCGTTAAAATGCGAAGAAACACGAGTAATTTCGGTTACATTGTCTCTGTAATATTGAATCAACTCATTAGAGGTTATTTCTTTTGCTTTCAACTTTGTAATTAAGTTATCAATTTCATCAAATTTTGCAAAGAAAGAATCCATTTGCGTTTTAGCGAAGCTGTGATTATAATATAGGATATCTTTGTAATTATGAATAAATTCTGAATAGTTAGCTATCATATCGCATAAAACTGATGATTGTTCAGTAATTATCGATGAGATAGGCTTATTTGTTGTTAGATACTCTGTAATAGAATTCTGCGAGAGTTCTCTCATAGATTTTTCCGAATCCGTAAGTGGATTCCCATCTTGAGCGAGATAACTCATTCTATTAAAAGTGACAAAATTATAAGAACTCATTGTTTTGTTACAACAATGACAGTAACTGAGGCTATTGGCGATTGATTACACAGTAAAGTCTAACAATAGATCATTTTTTCGATTTAAAATCTCATTAAGAGCATATTTTTGAAATAGCCAAAAAATTTCAACTGCATTCTAAGATATTGAGTAATAGCTATTTGACATATAATTTAAATGTATAAATTAAGAAGAAATATTCCCTTTGTTAAACCAATTGCTCTTATTTATTGGGTAATTTAGAAATTCTAGAATTAAAATAGTTTTTTCTCATGTATGATACATACGTTTGGTACTAATATTCAACGCTGTCAGTGATATTCTAGAATATATGTGCTATTTATTGATATTTAGAAGATAAAATTTTTAAAATTTCAAATTCCTTCTGATTATTGCTATACATGAGAAATGCTGAAATTTTTATGATATACTTATTTCTAATAAATTGTTAAATCATGCTAATTTTAAAAATGATTTTCTTACAGCAGCTATAATTGAACATGATGTGCATAATTCCATTCGAACATTTACGTTTTAGCGATATGGAATCATGGTTACTCTCAAAACTTGAGATGAAATTTATTCGAAATATTCAAACTCTATTAATTCGCTGGTATATTAGTATTCGCTTGAACCCTACATATATGATTAAGAGCAGATACTGTGTAGGTAATCGGAGATAAAATGCCAATAAATTCGTAACCGGAGAAGAGATAAAAAAAATTGAAAGAAATCATAAAACTATTGAAATAAAATTTTTGACAATTTCAATGAGCACAAAAAACGAAGTTTTAGGGCAAAATATTGATAGCAAACACAAGAAAATCAGCGATTCGGAAATTTTACCTGAATTCAAACATGCTCATCAAATTTCTGAGCTAATTTGGAAAGATAACGAAAATGAAAATGATAATTTCGACGAAATATCAAAGGAAATTGATGCTAAAATGGTTTCTATCGAATTTGTATTACGAACAATTGATTATGCAGCTACAAAAAGACCAAAAGCAATATCAAGATATGCAAAACTCTGTTTGGAGTTATTAAACAAATACGGACAAAATCTCGACATCAAAAATACCGATATCCGCGTTATGCTTAGTGTTAAAGGCTTCTACAAGGATGAGAAATTTTCAAAAAAAGGTTCCGACGTGACTGGAATCTTCAAAGATGGAACTCCACAGTACTACATATGTTGGGATAGACTTGAAGACTTGAAAAAAGTCATTGATAATCAAAAAGTTGAATTAGATCCATCATTAACAACAAATACTTTGATAGATATCGCTGCAAAGTATGGTTCAAGTAAATGTTTCAAGTACTTGCTTGAAAACAAGTATAAAATTACACAAAGCACACAAGTTTTAGCAGTTGAAGGTGGAAACATGGAAATTTTAGAAATTTTAGAAAAAAATAATGCAACTTTCGATAATTGCTATTCAGCAGCTGTTGACTGCTACAGAAATGATATTGCTGATTGGATCAGTCAAAAGAATCATGTCGGAAAATTAAGTATCGCTCAATGCTTAATTTCATCAAATTATAGGGCTGCATCGTTTTGCATCGCAAATGAAGGCGATATAAATGAAAAATATAACGAAGAATGCCCTCTTTCGATTGCAATTAAAAATAATATTTTTGATATCGTTAAATTCTTTGTCGAGAAAGGAGCTGATGTTAATACAATGTTGTATTACATTGAGAATGAAACAGGAATTCTTTATTTTCTCATGTTAACGGAATTCCATATATATTGATATAATTCAATATCATATTCATGGAGTTCATTTGAAAAATCATGTAATTTTATTTAATTTTATAGAATTCTTAATAATAATCATCGAGTCATTTTTTATATTCATTCAATTCAATATTATTTCTCATAGAGTAATTCTTTATACTATTTATTATGTTCATTTAATACTTATAAGAAAAATATCTCAATTCAATTTCTAATCTCATGAAATTCAATTTATTTGTTAATGAAAGACCTCTTTCACTTGCAATTAAAGCAAATTCGATGGAAATGGTTACTTACTTGATCAGTAAAGGTGTTAATGTCAATATAGAATTAATTCAATTTTATTTTCATTACATTCTTTATTTTTTTCATTATGTTCTATTTATAATCACGAAATTCTCTATCTTATCATTTTATTCCATATATTATTATGACATTCTTTATCAAAAAATATAATTCTAAATTTATTTATGAAATTTTACATTATTTTATAACATTCATCGTTATTTCATTTAATTATTTATTGGTTAATACTATTCTTCATTTGTTTATACAGTTCTTTATTAACTTTTAGATCAATTCTTTATTAATTTATCAAAAAATTCTTTATTTTCATTATGGAATTCATTATTACCTTTATAGATTTCTTCATATATTCATTTATCAGTTCTTTTTAAGTTTAAAGAGTTCATTTTAATGTTCATAAAATTCAATATTATTCTTTCATGGAATTCATTATTTATATTCATTCTATTCATTATTTAACTTATTCTGGAATTCATTTTAATTATTCATGATGTTTGCCCATTAACTTTAGCAGTAGTTCGAAATAACTTCGAAATTGTTAAATATCTAGTTGAAAATGGAGCTGAAGTAAACTCAAAACACAGAGTTCTTTTTTATATTTATTATGAAATCCATTATGAATTCATATAAATGAATATAGCATTCTATATCATATATCATGGAATTCATTTTATATCTCATTCTATTCATTATATTAACTCATACCATTCATTATTTTTATTCATGAAATTCATTTTATTTTTCATGCTTCTCTTTCTGCAAATGTTTCTTCTGCTAGTTCTAGTAATGACTTTACGAATCATTGTGAAAGCTCAGAGAATGACAAAAGTGATCATTCAGATCAAGGAGTTCTTTTTCTAACTCATCAAAACGTTCATTTGATTAACTCATGGAATTCAATATTTTTATTTATGGCGAAATTCTTTATTATAACTCATAGAAAAATTCATTATATAACACTCATGGAATTCAATATTATCTAATACTTCCATTCATTATATTTTAATGGTGATGAAACTGCTTTAACAATTGCAATTGAAAACGAAAACAGGGATATTATCACTTTCTTACTTGCCCATGGTGCAAATCCAAATTTGAAGTTGAACTTCGAATACATTCTTTTTATTATTCATGGAGTAATTCATTATTCCATTATGAAGTTCTTTTTTATTTTCATCAAACAAAAACCATTCTATTTATTATTCATTGGATTCAATTTTAATTCATTGGACAATTCATTATTTGATAATGAAGTTCTTTTTTGCACTTATGAAATTCTATATTATAACTCATGGCAACAAAGTTCTTATTTGTAATCATTCAGTTCTTTTTGGCAATCATAAGATTCATTTTTAAGCCCATTCAATTCATCGTATCAATCATATAGTTCATTTCAACAATTATAGAGTTCATTTTCGTTCTCATCGAATTCATTTTATTTTTCATAATATTTGCGGCTCTGAATGTCCATTAATTATTGCAGTAAAATCAAACAAACCAGAAATAGTTAGTATGCTCATTGACAATGGAGCAAATCCAAATATCATAATAGACTTTAGAGTTCTTTTTTAGATTATTATATTCAATTTTGTGGTTAATGAAGTTCATTATTTAGATATCGAATTCTTTATTAAAATTTATATCGATATTCTTTAGTATTTATTGAAGAAAAATGTCCTTTATCAGTTGCCATCTTACAGAACGACTTAGAAATGGTGAAGCTCCTTTTAAGTAAAGGTGCTGATGCAAATCTTTTTATCAAAAACATTCATTATTTTAATTCATTGGGTTCTTTTTGTTTTTTATGAAGGAATGGTTTTTCATTGTTTTATAAATCCCCTGTATTGATTGCTGAAGAGCTAGAATTGACCAGTATATATGATCTTCTCTCTTCATACGGCAAGAAGTAGCCAATATTAAAAAAATGTGTAAAAAATATTATTAAAAATCCTCTGATTTATTTTTCTCTCAACCATTTCATGAATGAAGCTTTTCATAAGTCATTTCATTATAGTTGTGCGTTCGAAAGGAGTTATTGAATAGATTGATCTATATCATAATATTCATACAAATTTTCAAAGGACTTTTCATCCTTATATTTGAAATAAAAGAATATAAATTGTTCCATACTATTTGCAAAGTTATAACTAAAGCCATTTCGATATGATTAAAAGGATGATACGTTAAGTATTTATTGTATAAAAGGGTGCCTAAATCATATATGTCAGGAATCGATTTTGAAATTAGTTAGTGAAAAACTAATTTACAGAATGTAATAACTGAGATAACTTGATACAGATAGAAAATTCATAATAGTTAGGACAACATAAAATTGAGACCGAATTGAAAGATTATATTTTCAAAAAATTTTATTCAATAAAGCCTTTTGATGGCAAGATATAACTCTATGCGTGAGCTTGCCAGAAGGCTATTTGGAGACATTGTGTCTGAAGAAGAGTTCAATTCAGTCTATACAAGAGAAGGAGTCTTTATTGAAGAGATTCCTTTTGCGGCTCAAACTTTAGTTTGGAGAGCAAGAACTCAGTTTAATAAAAAGAACGATGATAGATTTCATTTATCACTAAATTTAGATCGCGTACACGCGATTGAAACAGTTGAAGACATCACAAAAGAAGAAATGGAAACAATTATTAAACCTGCCTTTGCAAATGCATATCTACACAAAGTGGGAATAACTCCAACAGAACAGGCAATACGTGCTGTTAGCAAAATGTTTAATATTACAGAAAAAAACATTGTAATTCACACTCGAAATAAAGGATACGATAAAGAAGAGATCATAATCAAAGATAAGCCAGATGAATACTTTAGTGCAATTACTAATAGCATCAAACTTGCCAAAAACGATAAAAAATGCGCGACTATTCGAAGAAATATTATTGATGGTTGGAAATTGCTTGACAACATATTTCCTCGCGAGTTTCATGCCCAAAAGCCTAAAGTATACGAACCAGAACCAAAATTTGTTTCTTTACAAATAATTGAAAAAGCTGCCAAAGTTGAAGAAAAGATGCCTTCAACTTTAGTAAAAACGCATAAGCCAAGTAAAATACCTAATCCTTTTGGAAAACCTTGGGAATTTTTCCTTTCCAAAGAAAAAATTGATCAAATTACAATAGATTTCTGCGATAGATTTGATTTTAAGAAGAATTTTAAGTTTCATCCATTAAAAATAGAAGATATTAGGCAAGCATTGACTATTGGAATAGTTCCAAGACTTCTATTTCATGTTGCTAAATACATTCATTCAATTTTTGTTTTAAACATGGAAGATATCAGTCAGTATATAAGAATTAGAGCTCTTTGGATAATATGTCAAGCAAGATTTCCACCAGGAGATTCAGGAATAATTTTATCAATGGTATTAGTTATGTATAAGGTATGTTGTTCAATACTTTTCATTACATGTTCACCTAAGTATTGCATTACTAATGAAAAAGATCTTACAGCAACTGTTTTTCATTTTATTGATAAAATGTTGAATCCTTTTCAAATATTTGATTCAATGAATGATGATGAACGATCAACAAAGGCGAAATTACCACTCAGAGCTCCTAAAAGAAGATCGCAAATTGATATTGCAGAATTAGTGGAGAAATATGATCTCCTTGATGACGATGAGACGATTGCTAGAGCTATGTTAAGCAAAAATGCTCCAGAAATTTTACTTAAGATACTCTCAAACGAAGCTTGGGGAGATTATGATTTTGATGGCTCAGAAGAAGACCAAGATGATGATATCCAGGAAATTCCAATTCAAAGCATCATCAGGCGCGATATCAAAGACTTGAATTGGAAAAATCCAAACAAAGTGGCAGAGTGGATGAAAGTCGATGCAAGTAAACTAAATTTGGAAAACTTCTATCGTTCTCAATCATCAAATAGATTAACAAAAACTCCTGCAAAGAAGAATGTAAGGAAACGAAGTGCAACAACAAAAATTAAACCCGGAGTATCACACCCTTCAGAACTCCGTCTTAAACCTTTAGATTACGCTTCACCATTATTTAGGACACCTAAATAGTTGTATAAGATCAGTTTATATAGTATTATAGGATATTGATATTCATTGTTTTATTGTTTTTTAAAAAACTACTATTGGCTTACAATATTCACATGTTTTAGAGATGGAGTAAATCCATAATATCCAGTTACAACTGATTTTGATTTCAAATCAATAACAATAAGCCCATAAAATAAGGATAAATATGTGACAGTCATAAATAGCACTTCCAAGAAAAGAGCGAAATTGAAAACCGCCTTTTTTGTTGAAATTTCAAATCTTCGAACTCTAAAGAAAAAAATTATAAAAAGAAAAGTGACAACAATAATTATGCTCGATCATCTCTCTAATGAAGAATTCCTTGATCGATTAAATAGAGAGTTTGAGCAGAGCTTTACTATCGCTGTGCGTACGTGTAAAGATATGGATTGCAATGACATGTCTGAGTACGCCGCTAAAAAAGTTTTTAGCTATAACCCGAATTCAAGTATTATCCAGCAATATTTTCCAAAATATACATCAGCAATAGGCGAAATTAGTAAAATAGTCGATAACAACGGCCAGTTATTGAAAGAGAATATTGGTTTAATTAAATCATGGATTATATTAGGACATTGCTACTTAACGCTTGGTGATTTTCCAAATGCGTTCGCATCATATGCGCATGCTCTAAGAGCAAATGCCCATTTAACAGATTATCATTTTTCTTATGGCCTTTCACTAGTTTATTTCCATTTCAATTACCCTGAAAACAGCATTCAACTTCTTAAGCCTCTCATCGCTCATACGCCACAACTCCCCTACTTCGGAGATATGGCATTTCGAGCTGGCGTAATCTGCAGAACCCGCCAACAATATTCGAGTTCAATTTACTACTTTGAACAGATTCTCGATACACCTCCAAACAATTTGAAACAAGAAGATATTCAGTTCCAAATTGCTTATACTTACCAGGTAAACCAACAGCCAGAGAGAGCCGGCGAAATATACGCGCAGTTAGTTGAAAAAAAGCCGAAATCAATCCGCTTGTTACATCATTATTCTCAATATCTCCTATGTCAAAGTAACTTTGACTTGTCTAAGAAAATAGCAGAAGAAGGCTTAAAACTCGATCCTGTTGATCCTGTTTTCAACCTTATTCTAGGCAGAATCGCATTCCGTTCAAAGAATTTCCAAGCTTCGATTGATTATTACAAGAAATGCATAAATTACTGGACCGATGTCGCACAATTTTGGTGTGAGCTTGCTGTCCTTTACCATCAAGAGCAAATGCTTGACGATGCGATGCAGGTTTTGAATAGAGCGTTGTATTACGATCCCCAGCACCAAACAGCATGGAGAAACATTATAGTATTAAAGATACAAAGAAGCGGAATATACGAAGCAAGGCCTCTTATCGACAAAGCTCTAAATACAATTCAATCGTCAAGTTTTCAACAGCAAATAAAACTCGTTGATACAATGACTAATGCCCTTCAATGGGAACCATTTGAGATGAATATTGACTTCGTCCGTGAACCAGAAGCTTTTGCTAGACAGTACATGGGATCTTCTCCAATATTCCCGGGAGAATGCTATGGAGAAAATGGACGGTCTTTTCCAGAACTTGCGAATTATCCAAAATCTTTGTTCGAATAAAATGTTTGATATTTATTCTTCAGAAAAATTAAAAATTTTTGTTCATATATAAAGTAAATGGCAAATCATGTTCAAGAATAGATGTTTAATGCTCATTGATCAGCAAAATCCTGTAAATAAAATATTATTAAACTTAATTCTATAATTGTAAGACGAGAACATTACTTTAAAAAAAATGCATATACATTCTCAGTATAATGATAGAAATTTTTTTTTTGAAAAAACCGCTGTTTGTGAGGAAAATTGAGAACCCCGATACTTTGACAGGTACAGTCTATGATCAGATATTAACATATGGAAATAATCCACATAATTAAAAAAAATGAATAAAAACATTTATCTTTTAGGAAGCATTCTCTTCTTGTTCACCATCAGATAGAATTTCGTCAGGTTGCTGTTGAACTTGCATATTAAACATTCCTGTCCGTGTTAGTTCATTCTCTGCATTTCCAACATCGGTTTCTTCAGAAATTTCAATCGAGTTATCTGAAGAAATATTCTTAGAACGTCTGTATAAAAACACGGCAATAAGTGCAATCAACAAAATAGCAACCAAGCAGCCAACCGTAGCACCAATTATTACACCAGTATTAGAACTAGATTTTGATTCTGAATCTTTTACAATCATTTCTATTGCGATATGAGTTTCTTTTTCTACAATAGTGAGTGTACTTGATTCTACCAATGTTAAATGACCCTAAATATAAGAGTTTTAAGAAGAGAGACAGTTAGGGTAACAGTAATTGTTTCACCACTTCCAGGAACGCGTGTCGGGTCAGGCGACTTTTCAGGAGTTCTTTCTGGTGTAGCGATAGGTGATGGCTGTGCAGTACTAAATGGAGTCATTGCATTAGTAGGAATTACACTGTAACCTGAAAATTCGAACGGGAATGAATCTTTTTCTAATGTTCTTGCTGTTGGATAAACAAGTGATTGTGTTGTTTGTCTTGGTAATCTTGTAACTGGTGTTGCAACATATGTATATTCAGTTGGTTGTTCAACATTGGAAGTTAGCTGATCATCAGTCAATGTATTACTTATTCTTGCATATTTAATTTCATCTGCAATTATTCTTTTAATTGCTTTTCCTGAATCTTCACATACAGGCATAGATCCATTTGTTTGCATTACTGCCCAATTTAGATTTTGTTCGTTACTTTTAACAAAATAAATGTATTGATTAGGAATTGATTGTGAATACTCTGGTTCTTTAAAATCATCATTCATTGATATCCATCCAATATAAGAGTTCAAAAATATCTCATGTCCTCTTCCTTTGTATTCATTTTTATCTTCTTCTTCAGTTGAAAAATCATAAACTTCTAAAGTATCTTTGTCCAAAACAAAGTTATTGAAGAAACAGCAACTTTGTGTATAAAAAGATGCATATGTAGTTGGTGGCTGATCGTCTTTAGGCATTGGTGGACCTCCAAAATACAATGCGCCACCTCCATATCTAATCGAATTTTGATAATTCTTTCGGATATCTTGGGCAACATCTTTATCATCGAAGAAGTGGTTTGTAATGTAATTATTAATGATTTTTTTATCAAAAATGTCTAATCTGTTTGTTAGGCAGCATTCCATACCTCCTCCAAATGATGCGGCACGATTTTGCTTAAATTCACAATGATCTAATATTGCCTCTCTACAGGCTAAGGCCGATAAGCCTCCACCGCATGAGTGTGCCATATTTCCAGTAAATTTGCACTCTTGGAGTACTAACTTGACGTTGAGAGAGTTCTCTACAAGAGAATCTCCTTCATAACAAACGGCTCCACCAAATTTGTAGGCAATATTCTGATTAAAGATGGATTTCATTAAGTAAACTTGGGATTGAAGGCAACAGATAGCTCCGCCTGTTGTTGCGCGATTTGAAGTGAATGTATTGATTTCATTACTCGTTGTAAGAGAAGATCTGAACACGTGAATGGCTCCACCTGATGATGGATCCACAACCGATCCTAAAGCCCAACAATTTGTTACAGTTAATTTATTAATTAAAATATTGCTGAAGTAGAAATGAAACTTTGTTTCCTGTGAATTGATGTTGTCAGTTTCCGATAATTCTCTGGAAATATATAAATTATCGTAAATTTCTTTTATATTTGATTTGGGCATTTTCAAATTCTGAAACGAAGGAGCGTTAGGAATTGTTTCTTGGTCCACGGGAGGATCATCATCAGCAATTGCCAAACTATATAAAATCGGAAGAAAATTCATCATCAAAATATATGAAAAAAAAATTCTGAAAAAAGTTTGAATGGGAAATTGAATTCAATTCAGAATAAAAGATTACATGTCATGTCCATGTATACAATTTTGTGTCATTTAGTAATTTAGCATAAATTGTTTCAATGCTCGAGTTTACACTCATTCTTCTGAAAAGTCTGGTTAAATTTGCATAATTTATTTGAATTAACTCATCCTTAATATTATATTTATCAAGAATTGAGTTCTCAATTTTAAAACTATAAAATTATGTCTGACAAAACCACTCCGAGTGAATCAATTTAATAACGGAAACAACGAAAAAGAGTAAAAAGTTTTGCTAATGCCACAAGAATTGGTTGATTGTGAGCGGAAATAGTACAGAACAAAAGTATTATCCACGAAAGAATATTCTCTCATTTAAAGTTTCATTTTGGTTCACAATACTTCGTTTCATATTTCGAAACCAAACTTGGAGTTTTTGCGTAAATTCACTACCAATTAAGTTTTTATGAAACAGACAATGTTACTAAAATACATGGTCAGATATGGACGGCTTTGAGGAAGCATTTAATTTTATTTTGGAAATATTCAAATGCAAAAAGCTTAATTTACTCCTACATATCCTAGATCGTCATGTCATCAATTTTGTTTTTATCAAAACTGTTTTTAAATATTTATATATAGATCCAGTTAATGAAAATATCCAAAAGCTTTAAAAGCTTCTCCAGAGAGATTTTCGTTCACCTTTTAATTTACCTATATTTTTTTCATTTCGATAAATAAAATAAATAATAAGGAAGGTATCAACTTTGCAGATCCTAGATCTGCAAAGTTGTTACCTAAGGCGATATAAACTAATCCATGAATGAATAATGCGATTTGAGATTGCCAAATATCATATAATTGAGAAATATGAGATAATTAGCAAGCTTAATAGATATCAAACTGTACTCAAATATATCTTATCAGAGCAGTACCTTTCAAAACCTAAGAATTAAAAAGTTTTTATCATGTTCTTTTTTAATAATAGAAAGATTGATCGTATTTTAAAATACTGTAGATCAAACCAATTATTTATTTACCAAACTTTATTTAACGTACTTATCAAGAGCTTCCTTCATATGCTTGATACGGAAATTCTTAGCTTCGAGTGTTTCATTAAGTTCTGCAACTTGTTTATGAAGTGTAGCATTTTCTGTAATAAGGGCTTTAGCAGCAATAAGATCATCACCAGAAAGTTTGGCAAGGAATGGGTAATCAGCATCGTTTGTTGTTGCAACTGGTGCAATTCCACCTGTCTTGATAGCTGCTTCTAATGTGGCAACTCTTGCAGTAAGTTCTGCGATACGCTCTTCTGCAGACATTTTGGCCCTAACAGACCTCTTCAAAATTCACCGATAGAGATTTTGAACTCAAAGTTTGACAGACCGTTTATGCATTGAAAATTATCTTCGGTAGTATTACGCGCGTGTTAATTTTTCACAAAATTTTATATATGGCGCATTTTTCTCTGAAATCGAAATGTTTGAGATTTGATTCAAGTATTTTCCATAAAATACGAATGAGTACATGCAATTGATAATAGATTTAATGAGCACACTGGCTGTGAAGCATATGAACTTTTATCAGGAAATCTATTCGGCACTATTATAATTCTAGCAAGTGTAAAAATACTTTCAACATCCTTTAAGCTTGTGTGAATCTGTTCATTAATCTACTGATATGTAATTTTATCATATTCACATTAATTTACTCTATAGCTTTCATAAAAACTTACAATATATGTATATCAAAGAACTCTAATGCAAAATATAGTAGTCTCGTTATTAATAATCATTTTTTGACTTAATTTTTATTTCAAATTATTCCGATTAATAAAATTTTAGCTTTTTCCTTTTTTGAAATCAATAGATATTTTATAAAAAGATTATTTGTAAATTCAGTTTTTTCTGAAGTCAATCATTTAATTCTAATTTTATCAATTATTCATCCATTTTTTAAATTTTTAAATTTTTTAGGTTAAAAAAGTGACATTTCGAATGACTGTTGTTTTCAATCCTGAAATGAAATCTCTCCTGCAAAAGCAGGTAAGGATTACTATCAACCAAAAAAGAGAGGCAATAGGAACTCTTGTTGGCATTGACCAGTTCATGAATCTTTCTTTGAGAAGGGTTCAAATCAAAGCTCCATTTGATCCAAAGCCCGTCGTTGTTGATTCCTGCGTTATTCGAGGAGCCAGCGTCCTTTCTCTCGAAGCAATTAATACTTGATTTTATTTTACTTCTATTTACAACTCAAAAAGCAATTAAATTGAAAACAAAAATCACTTAGGCTTATCATAGAAAAATCGAGTTTGTTCCTTTTTGTCCAAAGCATTTCCAAATAATACATGGGCCATTTAAAAAAAACATAATAGAATTTGCCGAAACCATCAACGATTATCATGTATATAAATAAAAATAGTATTTCTTTTTACAACAGCTTTCCTTTTTTAACCTCATAAGAGAATATTTTTTTTTTTTTCTGTGATTCCTCAAAAAAAGTTTATAGATATAATATAGTACAATTTTTATTCTATCTCTATTGTCCAGTTGTTACAAGTTGATTGATGATCCCTCCGCGAGGAGCTCTTTTTAACAATCTGGCTCTGTAGTTGATAAAAAATGTTTGAATCCTTTTCTTTCCAAGTCCGGTTTTATATTCCAGATCAATAAAATCGGCCAATTTTGGATAAGGGTTTTGTTGATGAGCAAAGAGCCAATTAAATAATATTTGTCTGTTTTGACTAGAGATTCTATCATTAATCGGGGATTTTCGTGGCGGATTTTCATTTTTCATTTCATTTTCTACAATACGAATGATTTGGACTCCATTATATAAGATTTGACATATACTCTGATGTTTGATATCAGCACTATCTATACTCTGATCTATACAGTTATTATCAGTATTTTCAATTTGGAGATTCATATAATTTTCGCCAGAATATTGATTTTCTTCAGAGGTAATAATACTATCTAAAAAGTCTTCATTATTGTTACCCTCAATTTCTTCTTGATAATCCCATGTCATCACATCTTCATCATATATCATTTTGAAAAAAAGGAGGGAAGTTCACCCCTAAAATTGAATAGGTTTACAACTATTGGCTTGCCTTGGTTTGATATTTCCCCAGAAGAACTTTGCAATCATGCGTATGCTTCAAAATGCCATTTTATAAATATGATATTTTGTAAATAAAGGTTGGAAAATTATTTGAGATTGAATTTACAGGAGAAAACCATATTTCTTTTCACCATTTCGATCTCAACTTCAACCATATGATATATTTTGAATGAAATCGATTTTAGCAAAGGCCATGTTGGGCATAATTTTTCTTGAGGCGAAACTTTTTGACGAAATTTTATTAAACAAGCTATGAAAGTTGAATTACTTCATGTATCACTATCTAAATATCAAAATAAATAATGGATGAAATTAAAAAACTAAATAATATATTGAATTTCTATTTTATAATAATAATGGTATTTGAAATCTACACTTCATTATTATCTACTACTGTAAACATATTCTTTCATTGAATTTTCAAAATATAGAAAAACATATATGAGCGAAAGGCAAACCCAAATTTTAGCTAAAAGTGACAGTGAAAAAAAACGTTTAGTATTAAAAAAAAGACCGATGAGAGCTTCGTTCGAAATATAGAGGGAACTGAGAATGTGCAACCATTCTCAGGGAATATTGGATGCTATTCCCGTTCCCTCTGTATGGAAAATTGAGGTTTTCAAAGGGAGTTAAAATAATATCAAATTTATACTAATTTACTTCAAAATACAAAAGTATTTGACAGCTAAAATTAGTTACTTTAGCAAGCCTATCAATACCCTTTTACGATTATTGTTACTTTTTCGAAATAAAAGTAAAACCAAATTTATACTAATTTACTTCAAAATACAAAAGTATTTGACAGCTAAAATTAGTTACTTTAGCAAGCCTATCAATACCCTTTTACGATTATTGTTACTTTTTCGAAATAAAAGTAAAAACAAATTTATACTAATTTACTTCAAAATACAAAAGTATTTGACAGCTAAAATTAGTTACTTTAGCAAGCCTATCAATACCCTTTTACGATTATTGCTACTTTTTCGAAATAAAATAAATTTATTATCAAAAACCTTTTTTTTCTTAGTAAAAATAAACGAAATTTTTTACCTTATGAACTTTTGATGGAAATATGCAAATTTAAAATAATAAAGAAAGCCGCGAGCGAAGCGATCGGCTTAGTTCGAAGATTTTGATTCAAATCTTTGCTGATCTGTAATTCGCGGAAGCCGCGAGCGAATCGAGCGGCTTAGGTCTAAGATTTTGATTCAAATCTTTGCTTATATTCATTAAATTCTTTATGAAACTCGCAACAGTTCCATAAAAAATTTTAAATTCTAAACTGTCGAAATTACCGATCGGTAATCACACCCTTCACGGGTGTGTCACTTTTAGCTAAAATTACCCCTACTCATGAGCGAAAAAGCTTACACACACGGAATAGATATAATCCTTTCAAATTCATTGTATTTAGAATATTTTTTTTGAATGTGAAAATCATTTCAATACTTTGCATTTTGTGAGCTTTGACAACTTGACTTTTTACAATTTTTCATGAAAAGGATTAAGAACATTTATCTAAATGTTAATACAAGTTGTTCCAATTTGTTTTCAAATATTTTTTCAAACAATTGAATGAATTAATTTCATTGTATCTCTAAAAAATGTAAAATTCCATTCAAATCTCCAAACAATTCACATTATAAAATATGAATACTCCCATGCTGAGCATTGTTGACCCATCAATTCTCAAGAGAATGCATGATAGAAGAGTTAATAACAACAATTTACCCAGCCGCCCTTCATCAAATGGTCTTGGAAATCCAACAAAATCTATTCGCCGGAGGTCTTCCGATTTTAAACTCCATAACATTAAAGGCGAGCAGTATAGTGGTGGATCAACAAATGGCCATATCTAATGAAAATTGTTTGATTCGAAATTGCGGTTTTATTTATTCACATTGTTTTATCTTATTCTTGATTATGAATAAATTTTGGAAACTTTTATATACTCAATTTTCAAATGACGTGCAATTTGACTTATTTTGATAATTTTTCACAGTATTTTTATGGTTTTTAACTCTGTGATATAATATCAACAGGGAATATATTAATATATGCAGCCGGCTGAGTTATATATGAAAAAGAGTAATAATTGAAAATTTTAATATTTATTAATAAGAATGATTACATAATGTTTCATTTTACTGCAGGCTTTTCAGGCTAGATGGTGTCTTGAATGTATGATAATAAAGTACTTCATTTATCAAATAGAAAATGAAGACAATGGGGTATGTAAAAATTTGAAGATTGGAAACTCTTGGATGAAGTTTGATGAAGGCGTTTGGCGAAAGGAATACATAAGAAATCGTGGCGAGTGTAAATGAAATACAAAGGTTAGGAATGCAGCTTTCGTCTACAACCTTGATACATGCTTCAATGACCTTTGGCTGGTATTCTTGTTCGTCGAATTTGAAATTATATGAAATTACGGAAATAAGAACAAGAGTGATGCGGGTTATCTTTATTGCCATTGGATCAACATTGGCCAGTACTTGGACAAGGATTAACGCAACTTTGAAAAGAAGTAGGGAAACATCAATTAGCGTTCCGTTATCTGTAACAATTGAGTAAATGAAGCAAAATGCAATAGCACCGAGAGTTAAACCATGACCAAAATTAAACTTTTCGCTATTGAAAACGGCTATAATCAAGAAAAATGATAAAATAAGTACAGGGAATGTTATAATAAATTCGATTGCCATGTATTTAGATCCACGCTCGGCGTTATTCTTTCTGATAAGTCTTGCAACGAAATTGATGAATTGAACGTACAGACAAATTTCGATAAATGACATTGGGAAATCGAGAAAGACTGAGATGTAATATATAGCCGTTTTAATATATTTTATCGATAGCATGCTGATAGTTACGCCAATGATTGGGGCAACTAAAAACAAATATGTTTCGAATTCTTTATTTCGAAGAGAAATAATAAAGAGAAATAAAAAGGCCGAGAACAGGCCGAACATTATTGCGACATATTGCTCGTTATCTAAAAGCACCGTTACAGGATCTGAAGCCTCTCCCATCATAGAAGTTTACAATAATCGTCAATTATTGAATTTTTGGCGCCATAATTTTATAAAAGCGTCATCTTACGGACATAATTGTTTTTCGCACAGCTTTCCTCTTAATGAGTGCTTTCACTAATCAAAAATTATGTAATTCTAGAAATCCTTTCGCCGTTTAGATCTCCAGCTTTACAGAATTGGGTGAAATGTGGATGACTTGCTTATTCTCAAGCTAGAAATAGTATTAAAACAACTTTTATGCATATATATGATTGCAAAATTTAAGTTTGTATTAACATCTCAAATGTCGTATCTAGTAATGTTAATTTTTGATAAGGATCCATCTAAAATAATTGTTTTATTTCTGGAAATATAAAATTCTTACCAAGTAAAAATACATTTCATGTAAATATCTTAGGGACCCATATATATCAAAAAATTGCAATCAGATGTTAACAACCAACGATAAGTCTATTCTCTCATGACATAATATTAATCATTCAATAATTATTGATCCATTTGCCAATGAATATTATTTAATTTGTTTAATAAACATTCCTAAATTAGTATTACATAAACAAACAACTTTATTCTTTAGTTTTAATTTTTTCCTTTTCTAATTTTGGCTGATACAATATTTACAATATGAGTCAAGCCAATTTCAGATGCTCTATGAGCAATCATAGGTAGAAATTCATTCATATCTGGTGAATTTTCGCATAAAGCAAAGGCAGTCATCAAATCATCAAATTCAATTAAGTGTTTGACAGCTTTCTTTGTGTTCTTATCAACTCCGTACCTTTGAACAATCAACTCAGGGATATTTGAGTAATCTTTCGTTAGTTGAATCGCGGATAATAAAGCTCGAATTCCAGTTTCTCCATAAATATCATTGATTCCATCATAAATCTGAGAAAGAGTAACAGATTTATCATTTTTGAGTAAAAATTCGACAACCATAATTGGGAAAATTTTTGGTTGGAATAATGCCAAAATTTTCGCATATAACATGGGGACTCTGAACTTTACACATAAAGCACATGCTTCTATAATAGATTCTGGGTCATAAAGGAGATCTGGACACTTTTTCATTCCATTTTCCAAAACTTTAATGCAAAGTTCCTTTTGAATCTCAGCAATGATTAGTATCTGTTCGTCATTAGCTGATAATGGTGAATGACCATCTTCAGACGAAAATTTAACTTCAATTAAATTATTAAGTGCACTTCCTAAGAAAAACAGTTGCATTGAAGCCTTTTCAGCTCTCTTAAACTCTTCAAGTGCTTCATGGGCAGCTTCAACTCTATTATCAAGTGACAAATAAATTTCAATTAATAATAAGTGCAACTCATGTTGTTTGCAGAATTCCAGAAGGAAATTCCATATATCTCGTGTCAAAACCATGTTACTATCCATCTTCTTCAAGTCATGTAGGAATGGTTTGAACGTATTCGAGATAATCGACGATTGAATGGCACTTTTTATAACCGCACCTTTATCGTCAAGTGAATCACTTAATAATTGAGTCAAAGCATCAGCGTAATCTCCGAAAGCGATGAAGACATCGATAGAAGAAGGTATCTGAAGGACAGCTCTTAGGAATTGGTAGCAGCTTTCTATATAATCAACTCTAACATTCTTTTTCGTTGGAATTTTCACAGGATGTTGAGTTGAAATGTTATGAACATGTGTGTAAATTGAAAGTCCGATAAATGTTTTCTCTTCAATCAAGTTTTCCGGTGGAGTGATATTCACGACTTTGAGGACATCATGATTAATGAAACTACTGTGAATGAAATACCTTATTACAGGAGAACAGAAAGAAATATTATCCATGATATTTGGTGAAATATCTTTAATGAAAATTGAAGATGTGATTGATTCTAAAATATCATATCCAGGATGCGTTTTCAGGTAATTCTGGACATAATTCTTTGCTTCATTAAAGAAGCCGAATTTAAGCAATGTAATAACATTTGCGGTAATGAATTGCGATGAATCATATCCGATTTTATTTTCAATTTTCAAGTATTCGCTGTCTAAATTCAACTTAAACATAATGATCTGTAATTGGTCATTTGATTCTTTGAAAGAATATGGTTTGTTGAAGATAGAATAAGGAGATCTATTAATAATCTCAGCGAATGACTCAAAAATAGGACTGCTCAACTTGAAATCATGAAGGAAATGAAGAATCTTCGTAATGGAAACTTGAACTTCGAATTCTTTTTCAAGAGAATCAATTGTTAAACCAATTAAATATTCTTCAATTACTTCTATACATGCAAAATCAATTACATCTCTTGCAAACTGTAAAATTCGTCTTGAAATAGCTATAAAATCATCAATTGGTCTTTGTTTCTTAATGATATTAATGTAATCAAGATCAGATAACAAAATTCTTGATTTTACAGTGATGTTGAAACAAAATTCTTCATCATTTACACAGAAATCAGCAATTGATCTTTTATCCATGTTTTCGCATGCATTTATGATTCTTTGTGGTAAAGAATGGAAATATTTAATGAACAATCTGTCTTCTCTTGTTATCTTTGCACTCAAATCAGGTAATTCATCAATATAATACTTGATATAAATTGGAAATTCTTCCATGATTTGTCGTTTCAAACAAGTAGTGTTTTTCATTGCTACATCAATTAGTTTCTTCGTTTCATTTCTATGCAAATAAGCAAATAAAGCATCTTTCTTATTCTCTGAAGCTAATGTTTGAACAATTTGCGTTTTATCTGTCATAAAAGACAACTTTTCAATCTCTTTGTTTAACCTTAATTTTATGATTTTTTCATCTAAATTTTCTCCTAAACTTTCAATTATTTCTGCAATGTAAAGTATAACATCTACATCTGCATCATTGATGTATTTCATGATCAATGAATTCAATACAACAGGAGAAATACTATAGATGTAATCATCATATAATGATAAATCTTTTTCTTTTGATAAAAGTAAATTTGTCAAATTTCCAATTTTATCGTTTTTCGCTTCAATTTTTTGTAAAAATTTTGAAGGAATCATTGGAAAATCTTGAGTTGCAAACATTGTTGCTGCAATAGCAGTACAAACTAAAGGATGTTCATCGTAATACTGCATAACAAACTCTTTTGTTAATTCGAAATGAACAATGTTTTCAATGACAAAATCAAACAAATTCAAATGATAAATATTTGCTAAATTATTCGCATCAACGATCATTCCATTCAACATTGCATTTCTTATTGATTGCAATGGACCAAATGTTATTCCTATACATGTACAAGAGAACAAACAACGTGAATATAGATTTAAATAACTCAAATATTCATATAAATTCTTTGTTAATGAAAAAACATCCATAAATGCTTCTCCTTTTCTGTTTTTAAGGAAAATAAATGGATCATCATCTAACTGTGATGCTAAATTCTGTATTGTTTCGTATTTGAACTGGTTATTGAACGCATACAATGCATTTGACTTTTTTGAAATTGATATTCTTTTGTCAATCAAATTTATGTAGTCAGGATATCGTGATCGTGACATTCTCAATGCATCACTACCATTTACACTTGAAAATCCATATTCAAGTTTAATTATATTTGATGAAATTTCTGAATCTTGATTTAAACCATGGACACCAAGTTGGTAGACTCCGAGAGCTGTATCATAAAAATCTTTGTACAATGTTGACGTTTTTATGATTAAATTGGCGGTTTTCCAGTCATGATTTGAAACACTTTTGATTAAAGCGTTTTTGCCGGCCAAGAAATATGCGGAAATGTTTGCACTCGTAAGGCCAGTTATTCCTGTGTTCAATGAGAGAATTGCTTGTCTAACTAATGGTAAATCTGTAAATGGTTCGATAATATGACATAAATATTGAGCAATTCCTGCATTGCATATGTATTGGCCATCCTTCTGAAGGAATATCAATGAAAACAGGTCATTTGCTACTTGAGAACGTATTGAAGGCTCAATTAATAATAAATACTTGGAAATTTGTTTGAAAGAAGTTTCAATTTGTGGAGTAATCTGAGTTGTGTTAAATATTGATAGAAATTCGCGTAAACAAAGATAAGAATAAACAAATGAAAAATCATTTTTGAAATCTTGAGGGGAAATTGTTAAAAATTCTGAATTATCAAATGCGAGAAGCTTTTCTTGAGTAAGGAAGTTCCTACAGTAGTAAGGAAATGAATGAGTAACAAAATTATTTGGAATAATATTTAAATTTGAAAATTCAGAACAAATTGAAGCTAAATTAAGTTCATTTATGATCATTTTAAAAATGTCAGTTCCGAATATGATTTCATTTTGCCCTGTAAATAAACTTGAATAATTTGCCAAATTTTCTGAAATAACACTATAATTTGCCAGAAGAACTGGAACATACAATGTAGGGATTAAGTCAAATAATTGTCTGAATGAGTTTAAATCTTGAGAAACAAGATTTTCTCTTGCAATTTGGAAAATGACGTCAATAGGTGGGAAACTTGATATAATTGAAGTATTAGTTAACGAACATGTTGCTGCAAATGGCATTTTAGGTAATTTATTCGGATATAAGTAAATTTGAATAAAATTATTTTGCAAAGCTTGAGTAATTTCGACATTTTGTGGTAAGAAAACAACAGAATCAGGATCAGTAATGGAAAACGAAACAGTTCTAAGAGTATTTGTGTTTAAATCTTCGAATAATAAATTTGATTTTTCTCCTTTGAGTTTAAAAACTGTCTCAAAACCTATAGTATATAATGTATCCTTGATGTAATCATATAAAATGTGATAAAATGTTTGATATTCGTTTCTGACGTAAGAGAAATTTTCAATAATACTTGATGAGTTTGATAAAATTTGATTTTTGGTACTATATTTATTGTTTGCAATCTGAACGAATTCTTCTAATGCTTTGATTTTAAATGAATACATTTCGTTAAAGTAAATATTATCAGAAAACGGCGGATGAAACGGTGAAAACATCTCTGAAATACAATGAAGAGTCCAGGTTGTCCTACCAAAAGTAAACAATTTTGAAATGGTGTTTTCTAATTGTTGAAAAAATGGATTTGTGACTTCTTTGTCAGCATTTGATAGATGCAAATATGCTCCTTCTGCATATCCAGAAAATATAGATTGTATAGCAACAGTAAAAGCTTCTTCTTGGAGTGGGTTCATCGAACCCTTCACAAAATTGAATTGAGAAGAAAAAATTTGTTTCTTAAATTTGATTTATTTTAAATGATCTCAGCCATTACACATTTTTTATTAAAAAAATGAAAATTGAGAGGAGGTGTGGGGTTTCAAAACTTTATGCGAATAAAAAAGCATGTAGCTTAAAATAGACATACCTATACGAACTCCACTCTAAATTAAAGATTTATTGGCAATATGATCTCGTATTCAATATTGAATTTAATAAAGTGATAGTAATTCAAAACAATACTGTCTTAATATTCTACACTCTCTCTGCTTATCTCAAAAATTATGCTCATTTTCGATTTTAACGAATACTTTTACGAAAACAGACCATATCTACGAAACATTCTGCATTTTATGGAATATTAATAGATTGAATTAAGATTGAAACTTCTTGTCAACTCAAATACATCGTGCTCAATGATAGTTTATAGCAAATTTGGTATGACCAAAATTTTGATCTTCAATATAAATGAATATTGGAACATTTGCCATGTTCCTTAGCCCTTCAAGCATAAATATGACCATTAATAATCAGCATTTCAGCTTATTATTCACTCAATTTCACCCATATCCACCTGATATTTGAAAGGAATTATTACATTTCAGTTACCATTCAATTTTAAAATTTATTTCTAAATCCAGGATTTTAATTGATTTTTATGCAGAACTTACCTCCTAATTCAGGTAAAGGCGGGTTCCAATCGAACCACAATATGAAGGTTACTCGTGGAAAGAATAACTCGCAACTTGGTATGTCAGCATTACTTATTCACAATCAATTAAATGCATCACTGGTAGAACCAATACAAGTTTTACAACAAATAGTCGAAGATAAATACCCTCAAGATAAATGGAATGAATACGTTCAAGAAATTAAATTTGAACCATTACATAACTTAGGGCAATCTATTGTTAATGCAAAACAATACGGAAATTTAAATTACAATAGTGATATTAGTGATAAAATAAACGAATTACAAGCTGAAATCGCGAAATTTAAATCTGAATCTGACGAATTAAAACGCAAATTACAGGAAAAAGACCAGATAAACAACGAAAATGATGATGAACTAGCTCAGATAAAGCAGATTTTGAGCGATTTCGCTAATCGTTCCGAAAATGAATCTTTACAAGATATCAAAGATAACTACAATGATGGAAAACTTACATCAACGCAGTTCTTGTCTTCGGTATTAGAGCAAGCTGATCAGAAATCTAACGATATTGGATTGAGATTCGATGGCTTTAATTTGCCGAATAATTCTGACGCGTCAAAGCATGCTACGAACTATCAAAACCAGTCAAATACATACTTAAACATCATCAATCAATCGATTGATAAACTGCAAGTACTTGAAAATCTTCTCGAAATAACAGAATTTGAAAATGATCAATCGAATCCAGAATCTCTTCCAATAAGAATACGCGGAATAACACGAGAATTACAGAATAAGATCAATGACGCCAATAAAGCTATCGATAAAGCTAAAATCCAGAAAGATGCGATCAAAAAACAGGAACAAGATCTGAAAAAGCGAGAAATCGATTTCCAGCAGTTAACTAGAGATGAATTGCAGAACAAATTAGCCGAAGTCGAGAGTTTACGTGAAAAATTAGCAAATCAACAAAAAGATGAATTAACTGCTGCTCAGAAGAAAGAACTGGTAGATAAGATACAATCATTAGATGAGGAAATTACTACTCTTCGTGGAGAAATCAAACTCAAAGACGAAAAAATAAATAATCTAAATAACGATCTCAACAGGCTTCAAATCGAAAAGGAATTACAAATAGAAGGCGAAAAGATGCTCAAGAATCAACATGAACTTATCGAAAACGGATTAAATCAAAGAGTTGAAAATCTTGAAATTCAAAATGAAAAATTAAACAAAGAAGTCACAGATTTACGCAACCAGCAGAATACTATTAATAATGAACGTGCTGATTACATGGCAAAGAACCAGTTTTACGAGCAAATGAACAAAGATTTGCAAAATCGACTTCAAAATGCCGAAAAAGAACTCAATGATCTCAAGAAAGGAGATACAGATGTATCCAAATTACGGTTCAAGATCGAAGCCAACAAAGAAAAGATCCAAGAACTGAAAGAAAAGAACAAAGAAAATAAAAAGAGGGCAAATGACTTAGAAAAGCAATTATACGAGATGAAAAGTGATTCCGCAATCAAGAACAATGAAAACAACATGTTAAATATCCAAAATTCAAGACTTGAAGCGGAAAATTCAGAATTAAAGAAGAAGAATGGAGATATCGAACGAGAACTCATGGAAATGAAACACAAACAAATATTAGCTGAATCAAAATCAAACAATGCTAAGTCTCTTCTTAAAGAATTGAAAGATAAAATCGATTCCAATCCAAATCAAACGAAAATACCAATGGATGATAAAGAAAAAGAGAAAGAATACAATTCTCTCATCCAAAACCTCAAAGACCAACTTTCACAATTAAATATCGAAAATAATAATCTAAAAAGTAAAAATGAATTGGCAGAATCAAAATTAACAAAGAAAGAAGATAAAATCAAAGAGCTCAAAGCAGAAAACAAACAATTAAATTCCGAAATTTCTGATTTGAAGGACAAATTAAATGAATTGGACAAACAAAACTTCAAAACTAACTTCAAACTCACAAATCTTGAAGAACAACATAAAGAACTCAAAGATATGTTGAACAGTCCAGATAAAAGTCCTCTTATAAGTCCAATAAGAAGAAATTCAACATGGGATGATTCACAAACAGAATTAATGTCTCCAAGAAGTGAAAATGATCCAAAAAACTTTGAAAAATTGGAAAGTGAACTGAAAGAAATGAAGTCAAAAATTGACCAAATTAATTCAAAATTGAATGGAACACCGACTCAAAATTCAACATTACATGATATTGAGAAACACATTGATGTATTACTAAAAGACATTGAGAACAAAGATAAAGAGATACAAGATCTTTTACAGTTGATAAAGAACGACAATAAACATAAGATTTGTATTCCTCCAAGTAGTTTCATCAAAAAAGATAAAGAAGATTACGAAAAATTCAATGATGATTTAATGAAAATTGCTGTTGGATTCAACATTTACGATGATGAAACAATCAAGAAGAAGATACATATATTAACTTTGGAAGATGAACTTCGAAGATTAATAGAAGATAACAATTATATTCGTGAACAAGCGAAATTACAAAATATTAAATTAATTCCTGCTGTTTACAAATATGATTTTGATGTTTCTAAAGTCAACAAACAATGTGCAGTTGTTTTAAGTGATTCTGATGATGACGAAGATATAGAAAATGAACTCCAAGAAAAGATAAGAAACAAAAAATTTGAAAATGAAGAATACATCAAACAATTGTCATCAAAGAACATTGATTTACCATCAAATCAATATAATTATGAAAGAATTGATGAATTGGAAGATATAAATGACGAATTGTTTGAGAAACAAAACAATTTGCAACATGAAATTTACTTTAAGTTAATGAGTATGATCATGGAATATAATCCTTTGGAAAGTTTGATGTCGAGAGAAATCAATTTCGACGAAAACGAAATTCCTAATGAAGAAAACATGAAAAATGTCTTGGCAAAACAAGAAATGGCAATTGGAAAATTGGAATCAGAAAACAAGAAATTAAATGATTTAGTTGATGAATTAAATCAAATGTTTGATAATCCTCAAGAAAACAAAGATAAATGTCAATTACTTAAAGAAAATATCATCAAACAAATGAAAGTTGAAAAACAAAATCAATTGACACAAACAGAAATTTCAATTTCTAAACTGACACCGAAATTCGATTCAGAAGAAAGTCAGTATTATGAAAGTGATGGATATAATAAAGATACGAGTTCATTGTCAAATGATGGAGAAGTTCTTAATTTGGATGAATTTTTGCAAGAATTAAAAGCTGTTGATTCTGATAATAATTCTCAAATTGAAGAGAAAAACAAGTGCTTGCAAGATTTCATTGACGAAATATCTAAACAAACAGGTAATAAATATCCAATTGAACCTGTAAAGAAATCGAGTTTCATCAAACAAAACAATGATGAAGAAATTTCTGAGCCAACAATGGATTCTGAAACAGAAGATGCAAGAAAACTTAATCAGATCTTGCAAAACAAGATCCAGGATATAATTAATCCATCAGATTCCAATGATTTGGAACAAATTGACTTATTAGATATAGCTAATACTGTTTCTCAAAAGAAAGAAAACAAATCATCATCTTCTTCAGATTCTCAACAAAAAGACAATCATGACCAGAAAGAAAAAGAAATTAATAATAACTCTGATTCTGAACAAAAGAAAGGAAAAGAGAATTTAGATTCTTCAGATAAGAATGAAAAAGAAAATGAAGTTGTTGATCCAATTAAGAAAGAGAAAGAAGATCAAAAGAAAGATAAAGATCCACAACAAAAGAAGGAATCAAAGAAGAAGAGAAGACATCATAGAAATAAGAAATCATCATCAGAAGAAAATCCGGAAGAAAGCAAAGAAAATCTTGATTACAAAGATCTTTATGAAAAATCACAAATTACCAATGAATTGTTGTCAAATGAATTAGAACAACTTAGAAAGGAATTGCAGAATTTGGCGAAAGAAAACAGAGTTGAAGTTCAATGCCAAACAGAACAAAATGCTTATTTCGATGAATTTACTGTAGATTCAAATGACAACAAAGAAGATATCGAAGAAAAGAATAAACAACTTCAAAAATTAGTAGACGAATTGAAGACAAAGACAACTCCAAAATCAGAAGATCCAATTGAAGAAGCAAAGAATCAACTCAAAGATCTAATTGAAGAAAACAAACAACTCAAATCTGAACCTTCATCAGATAATGTGAACAAATTAAATGATAATAAATCTCTTGACGAATTGAACGAAGAGATTGAAAAATTAAAACAAGAAAACAACCAATTAAAGAATGAAAATCCACTTAAAACAAATGAATCACTACAAAATCAACTCAAAGAACTCACAAAATTACAATTCGAAAATACAAAGAGAGTTGAAATTTCTATTCAAACCGATTTCCATGATTTGATTAATAAGAATGAAATAAGTAGTGATGATAATGATGTTTTAATGATTGATTACTATGTAACAGAAAGTGATGGAAAAGAAGACATCAAAGCAAAGAATGAACAACTCAAGAAATTACTTGAAGAACAACTTTCAAGAAATGAAGAAGAAGAAAATCCAGAGAAACAACATGAAGATGCAAAACAAAAACTCAAAGAACTAAAGAAAGAAAATACTAAATTACAAGGAAAGGAAAAGAAACAAAAACGTTGTAGGAAAGGTCATCATCACAAAGAAAATGAAATTTCTGAAGAAATTAAATTGGATTCATTACCGAAAGAAGAAGAAAAGAAACATCTTGAGGAAGAAGAATCAGTTGCATTTGATATTGATGAATCATTGCATCAGAAATATCCACAAGAATCAGATCAACTTGAAACAAACAGCGAATTGTTGAAAGAAATCAATGATGATTCAAATTATATTAAGGTTTCATCTGACAATGAATCAAAGAAAGAAATAATTAATTATCCATCTGGTATCGAATCAGATCAATTTTCTAAGAAAGAAACTATTAATAGTTCAGATGAAATCCAAATTTCTTCTGACAATGACTCAAAGAAAGAAATAATTAATTATCCATCTGGTATCGAATCAGATCAATTTTCTAAGAAAGAAACTATTAATAGTTCAGATGAAATCCAAATTTCTTCTGACAATGACTCAAAGAAAGAAGAAAAACTCAAGTCATCTAAATCTGATAGTTATTACTCTGAAGAAGAAGAAACTGAAAAGGATTCTCAAGTTTCCAAAGAAAGAAAACATCCTAAGAAACAAGGAAAATCTAATATTTCTTCCGAAGAAAAACTTTCAAACGATGAAAATGAAGAAAATCAAGTTTCCAAATCAGAAAAGCGACCAATGAAGTCTAAGTCTTCTAAGTCAGATGAAAATTCTTCAGATAATAAATCAGACAATAAACTTTCTGATGATCTTAAGAAGGATGAAAAACATAAATCAGCTAAATCTGATAGTTATTACACAGAAGAAGAATCAGAAAAAGTTTCTAATGAAGGAGATAGTGCTTCTAAGGAAAGAAAACATTCAAAGAAAGAAGGAAAACTAAAATCAGACAATATTACTCCAGAAAACGAATCAGAAAAACTTTCTACAAAACCAAAGAAAGAAGAAAATCTTTCTTCCAAATCAGGTAAATCCAAATCATCTAAATCAGATGAATATTACACAGAAGATGAATCAGACAAAGCATCTAAGGAAGAAAATGAGGAAAAGCCATCAAAGAAGGAAAGAAAGTCCAAATCATCTAAGTCAGATAGAAGTTCTTCAGAAAATGAATCAGAAGTTTCTAATGAACCAAAGAAAGAAGACAAAGTTAAATCAAATGAAGATGAATCAGATAAAGGTTCTAAACAATCAAAGAAAGAAGGAAAAGTTTCATTCGAAGTTAAGAATGATAAGAAACCAAAGAAAGAAGTAGATGAAAGTGAATCGTATTATTACTACTATTCTTCATCTTCTTCCAACGATGATGATAATGAAAAGACATTAGATGAACTTCAAGACGAAATCAAACAGTTACAAGCAGCAAACAAAGAATTAGGAGAATCCAATGATAAAACAATAGATGATGAAAGAAAATTAAATGAAGAATTGCAACAGAAACTCAAAGATTTGATGGATAAGAACCAACAAGACAAAGAAAACAAGAAAGATTACAAGAAGTTATACAAAGATCAGAAAGAACAAAACAAACTGTTATCAGCTGAATTAGAACAAAAAGACAAAGAAATCAAACAATTATCAGAAAATCTCAAACAAAACAACAATCAATCAGAATATACAGAATATTACACAGAATCCGCTGATGAAAATGAGAAACCAAAGTCTAAAAATGCTGATAAAGAAAAACCAGATTCCAAAGATAATTCCGATAAACAAATCGATCAAATCAAGGAAGAAAACGAGAAACTCAAAGATGAAATCAAGAAGTTGAGAGATTTGATTGAAGAAAGTCCAGAAGAAACAGAAGAAATGTCTGAACTAGAAAAGGCAAAGAGAAAACTCATCAAATTACAAGATGAAAATGCCAAATTATTGAAATTAATTGGACAAGAAAAGAAAGAAGAATTATCTGAAAGTTCTGATTTCGATGAACCAATGAATAAATCATCCCATTTAGTTCCACAAAATCAATCAGATTCTGATTCAGACAATCCGATTCCTCTTTCTCAACTCAAAACAGACAGAAAGATCAAATTTGATGATTCACCAAATGTTCAATCAAACGAAAATATTCCTCTTGCAAGAATGAAGAGAGAATACATCAACTCCAAAGGTTGTTTGAGAGTTGAAAACACTTCTTCTGGTACTTCTGTTTCCATTAACAGTTCTGATATCGAAGAAAGATTAGCAGCAATGGATAACATGACTCTTGAAGATGTTAACAAAGAGATCAAAACCCTCAAAGCTTCTAATCATAATCTAATTAAATCATCAGGATTATTCAATATCCCAATGAATTCAGAACCAGATGATTTAACTGAACCATCAAATATTGTTTCACAAACAATGATTGATCAGCTCAAACACGAAAACAAAGAACTGAGAGATCACATTGGAGCAATGGAACAAAGTTATGAAGACCAGCTTTCCAAATTAAGAGAACAATTAGAGTTATTAAACTCTGAAAATCCAAATCTCCTCAGAGATATTGAGAACAAACAAAAAGCTCTGGAATTGAAAGCAAATGAAAATGATGACGAAAAAACAGTTCATGATAAAAATGTTCAGCTCAAGAACATGTTACAACAATACGAAGAAAAACCTGTTGAAGTCATTGATAATGTTGATGATGCGAAGAAGAAATTAATTGATCTTGCTTTAGAAAACAACAAATTAAAGAAGGAAGAAGAAAAGAAATTGAACAAAGAGTCGAAACGTCATAAGAGGAAAGTCAACAATGATGAAGATAATGATTATAATTCTAGTTCTTATGAATACTATTATTCAAGTTCATTCGATTCTGGAGAAGCTGTTTCGATTTCTTCTAATGATGTCTTACATTCATCACAAGAACAAATTAAACAACAAGTTCAAGAACAAACTAAAGAATTAGATCTCGAAGATTTGAAGAAAGAAATAGAGAAACTTAGAGATGCAAACGAGTTCCTAAAGACATCAAATCAAATGCATCATAAATCTCTTAAAGAAGAAAAGAAATTGAACAAAGAATTACAAGAAAAACTTAAAAAATTGACGTATCATGAAAATCTTTCAAAGGAAACACAAACACAAGTTGTCAAAGAAATGTCCAGTGATTACTATTATTCTGATGATGATATCAAGTCTTTGCAATCAAGAACTGCTAAAGATATCGAAGAACAAAAGAATATTAGTGAAATTATTTCACCAGAAAAAACAGATTTCGAGCAACTTTACAACGAACAAAAAGATGCAAATGACAAATTAAGACATGACATAAAGAAACTCAAAGAAGAACTCGAAGATGCTCAAAGAATGACACAATTCAAACAACCACAACCAACAATTGATGATAGATCTGTTGGTTCAATTCTTAATGATAATGATTCTTATATACCTATCAATAAATCATTTGAAGAAACTCCAGAAGATAACCAATCATTCTCAAGTACTTCTTCATCATCATTCCATAATGATACTCAAATTACTGACATTGATAATATTACACCATTATTCTATGATCATTTGTCTAAAACAAGTGATGCATCAACTCCTTCATCTTCAAATCAATTGGTTGATCAATTGAACAAAGCAAATGAAATTATCAATGCTTTGCAACAAATTGTCAACCGTCCGAAATGCAACATTTCCGTTCAAACTGATAAAGAATCTGATTTACAAATCAAAGAAAAAGTTGATCAGTTAGTTGTCAGTGAATCTGATGATGACAAAGCAATTGAAGCAAAGAATGAACAGTTGAAACAATTAATCAATCAATATCTTGCACCACAAAACAAAGATGAAGAAGATATTGATGAAAACGAAGCAACAAAACAAAGATTGATTGAATTGACATTAGAAAACGAAAGACTCAAAGCAACAGCTCCAACTGAGCAAGAAAAGTCTCAAGAAGAAAATGAAAATGATTCAGTCTTTTCATCAGGAGAAGGCGTTTCAATCGAAAGCAAAGATGTCAACAAAGAAGATTTGGATAACTTCAGAGTTATTGATGTTCAACAATTGGAGAATAGATACAACGAAATGACTAAAGATGAATTGCAAAAAGAATTGCAATTATTGGAAGAAGAAAACGGAAACTTAAAGGATTCTTCAGTAGAATCAATTGATCCAAAGACAGAAAACGAGAAACTTCAATTACAATTAATGAGTATTATTGAAGCACAAAATCCACAAGAAAAGTCAATTCCTGTTGAATCAATCCCAGAAATTGTTATTCCAACATCGAAACAAAACAACAAATCCGTTGAAATTCAAACAGAACTTCATGATTTGCTATCTGAACAGAATGAAAAAGAACCAGAAACATCCAATGATTTTGAAGAAATGTATCATAAAATCAAAGATGAAAACGAGTTACTTTCCATTGATAATTCTCAAAAGAAGGAAGAAATCAATCGCTTGAATGATCTTCAATCTAAATATCAAAAGGAAATTGAATCTCTTCGTCAAGCTCTTGATGATCTCAAGAACAAGGTTTATGAAGAAGATTCTGATGAACCAGTTGTTGTTGTTACAAGAGATCTCACATTTGATGATGAAGATGATGAATCAACACTTCACGATAAGAATGATAAACTTCAAGAATTACTTTATGATCAACTTAAACAACAAGAAAAGATGAAATCCGAATCATCTTCTCTTTCATCAAATGAAAACAAAGATAAAGAAATTAATGAAGAATTAGAAACAGCGAAGAAACAACTTGAACAACTTCAGAAAGAAAACTTCAGACTTCGTTGCCTCCATAAGGATGAATCAAAGAAGAAACCAAAGAAACATCATTCTAAGAAACAAAAGAAATCTGAAGAAATCAAAGCTCCTGTAATTTCTGAACAATCTCCTGAAGAAATGACATTAGAAGAACTTCAGAAGGAAATCAATAGATTAAACACACACAACCAAGAGTTAGAAGCATCACCAAAACTTACATTCGAAGAACAACAAGAAATCAACAAATCTCTTCAGGAACAACTCAAAGATATTATGACAAAGCCTTCTCAGATGAATGACATTGAAGTTCAAGTTAATTTCAATGAATTATTAAATCAGAATCAAGTTAACAACGAATTTGTTGCTGATGAAAAAGATGATCATTCAACAATTCGTGCAAAGAATGAACAACTTCAAGAGTTATTATTCAACAATGAGAAACAAGAAAGCGAAGATGGAAATGTTTCTGAAGAACTCGAGAATGCGAAGAAGCAACTCGAGCAACTTCAGAAAGAAAACTTCATGCTCAGATTAATCCAGAATGAACAAGAAAAATCCAAACCTGAAGAAGAAAAACAAGAAATCGAACCAATTGTTATTGATAACAAAGGAAAGACAATCGAAGAAATCAATGAAGAGATTCAAAAGATTTCTAATGAGAACAAAGAACTCAAAGAGTCTCAGTCAGAAATGACAATTGAGGAAGAAAGAAATCTTAATGAGAAACTTCAAGATTTGTTGAATAAGAGACTTGATGACAATAAATCAACTGATGTAGATAAAGATTACAAATCTATGTATCAAGATAAGTGCCAAGAAAATGAATTACTTTGCGCAGAACTTAATGAGAAACAGGCAGAAATAGCAAGACTTGAAGAAACGATTCAAAAAATTCAATTGAAACAACCTGAGAAGAGTGAATCATCATTACAATCAGAAGTTACTCCAGTTGATGAAAAACTCGTTGCAGATGATTCAGATAATGAAGAAAGTTTGCATGAAAAGAATGTTCAACTTCACAAACTTCTATTTGAACTCCAATCACAAACAGAGAAAGATCAAAACAAATATCAAGAAAATGATAAAGATAAAATATCAGAACAACATGTTCCTAAACAAAACGAATCCGAATCAGACGAACTTGCTATTGCTAAGAAACAACTTGAACAACTTCAGAAAGACAATTATCGTCTTTTATGTCTTCAAAAAGAACAAAACAAGAAGAAGCAGAAACAAAATCATAAACCTAAACATAAGAAGACTAAGAAATCCAAGAAACAAGAAGAAGACAAAGCAGAAATTCAAGCCATTGAAGAAGTTCAATCAAATGAAATCAAATCTGAATTCGATACTAAATCTCAAGAACAAATTCCAGAGAATGATCTCTCTTCCAAACAAGAATCTTCATCGAATGAATCTATACCAAATGAAACTAATGAACCCGAAGAAATCAACAAATCAGAACCAGAACTACAAATTGAACCCAAAGAAGAAATTGTTGAGGAAGTTTCAGCAGAGCTAGAAAGTAAAGCCAGAAGTGAACATAAATCAGAATCATCGAATTCATCATCATCCGATTCAGAAACAGATAATAATGAACATCATGACAAAGTAGATGAATCCTATTCTGATCATAAAGCTAATAATGATGCATCATATTCAGATAATGAATCAGAAAGTGAAGAAGAATCAATAGAAGAACAAGTACCAGTTTCTATTTCAACCGATGGAATGACACTTGAAGAGATCCAAGAAGAAATTTCACGTCTTGAGAACAATAACAAAGAACTTGAAGAGTCAAGTCCACTTTCCCTTGAAGAACAACGTCAATTCAACGAAGAACTTCAAGAACAACTTCAAACACTTATTTCTAATCAATCCACCAAGTATTCCACACATCAACCAAGTATCGAAACAACAGACGAAATTACTCAAGTTGAATTTTCAGATCTCGTTTCTCAAAACACTGTAGAGTCAACACCAGAAACAAACAATATTGACGAACTCAATGAGAAGTATCAGATTCTTGTTTCAGACAACATTAAGAAAGATGATGAACTTAAGAGACTTTCAAATGAATCAAGTGAACTTAAAGCAGAACTTGAGTCATTGAGAAAACAATTATCTGAATTGAAGGCATCTTATGATGTATCAGAAAAATCTCCTGTTGTTGATCAATTTACTCAAGCTGATATTGCAGAGTTTATCCAATACGTTTCTGTACCAGAAACAACATTAACTGCTCAAGATAATGATGATGCCGAAGAAATTCGAAATAAGAATAAGAAACTTCAAGAAATGATTCAGAATGAACTTAAATCACTTGAAAGTAAACCAAGCAATAGCCAAGAAGAAGAACTTGCCAATGCTCAACTTCAACCTGAACTTCTTCGTCAAGAAAACAATCGACTTCAATTACTCACACAAAACAAGTCCAAAGAAACCGAACCAGAAAATATCAAAGAAGAACAGAAATCAATCACTGAACAGCATTCATCTGCAGAACAACAAGAACTTTCATCCAACAAGCCAACTAATGATGAAGAAGCCCCAATTGATCAACTTTCCACATCACAACAACAAGAGCATTCATCAGATTCTAGTGAATCAGATTCATCCGATTCTTCAGAATCAGTTAAAGAAACAGAAACTAAGCAATCAGAGCCAGAGAAAGAAAAGAATCTTGAAGATATCAAACGAGAGATTGAAGAACTTAAGCAAAAGAACGAACTTATGTATTCTGAAGTTGAATCCACTCCACAAAATCTTGAAACGGAACTTTCACTTAACGAACAACTTCAAGAACAACTTCGAACTCTTCAAAAGGACAAACCAATTGAAATTCAATCTGAAGAAAATGAAACTGTTGACAACACCGATTACAAGAAATTATATGAAGACAGTAAGTTCACAAATACTCTTCTTTCCGAAGACAACAAACAAAAGACAAATGAAATCACAAGACTTAATGATTTGTTACAAGACTTACAATCAGAACTCGAAGAACTCAAATCTTCACTCCAAGAACAGAATTCCAATAAACCAGACTCTGAAACACCAGTTATCAGTCGAGATCTTGTTGCCGATGACAATGACGATCAACATGATGTTCATGATAAGAACTCTCAACTTTATGATCTCATCAGTGACCAACTTAACAAACCAGGATTTGACTCATATCAAAATGTATCTGATAATAATTCTCAAGAAGGAGATTCTAATCAGGTCAAATCAGAACAAGATAAAGTTGATGAAACGCAAGGAAATTCTGAAGAACTTGAAATTGCGAAGAAGCAACTCGAAGCTCTTCAGAAGGAGAACTTCAAATTAAAGTGCATCAATAACGAGATCAATAAGATCAAAGGCAAAGACAAACATAAGAAGAAGAAATCGCACAAGAAACCCAAAGTTGACTCAGAAACGAAACCAGAAACAAGTTCTATTACAGAAGAACCGCTTCAAACAGTTTCAGAAGTTCAGCCACAAGAAGAATCAATACCAGAAAAGTCCACACCACAAGAATTAGAAACCGATGTCGAACGAGAAACAATCATCGAAAATACTAATGAACCAGAACAATTACATCCAAACGATATTGAAAACAAATCGCAAATAGATACAGATAACATAATTTCAGAAGAAGTTAAGACACCAGAAACAAAGATCGATTCAAGTGATAAGAAACTATCATCGTCAGGTTCATCTAGTTCATCGGAGTCAGAATCAGAATATGAATCAGGAGATGAAAATGAGAAAGAGAACGAACATGAAAATGAAGATAATGATAAAGAATCAGAAGAAATTCCGAAGAATATTAGCATTATCAATGTTGAAGGCAAGAGTCTTGAAGAGCTTCAAGAAGAGATTTCACGTCTTCGTGAAGAAAACAAAGATCTTTCAAACACCCATCCTCCACTCACAGTTGAAGAAGAACGTCAACTTAACGAATCTCTTCAAACCCAACTCAAACAACTCATTTCTCAACAACAACAAGATAAACAAGATCATAAAGAAGTTGATAAGACCGATTCAATTACACAAACAGATCTAATCGAATTGCTTAACAATGAAAAGCCATCAGTGTCAACAGAAATTTCAGAAGATAACAAAGAAAATGTTGATTTCGAGAAGTTGTACAAAGATATTATATTATCAAATGAACTTCTTTCAACAGACAACAAGAACAAATCAGAAGAAATCAAGCGATTGAATGAAATTGTTTCTAACATCAAACCAGTTGTCGAAGTTGAGAAAGAAGATTCATTCACCCAAATTAACTTCAGCGAAATTATTAACTCAATTCCAGTTGTTATTAACGAAGAAAGAAATAAATCACCCGAAACAACATTTGTTGCCGAAGATAATGATGATGCAGAAGAAATTCGAAACAAGAATAAGAAACTTCAAGAAATGATTCAGAATGAACTTAAATCACTTGAAAACAAACCAAGTAACAGTCAAGAAGAAGAACTTGCTAATGCTCAACTTCAACTTGAACTTCTTCGTCAAGAAAACAATCGACTTCAATTACTTACCCAAAACAAGTCTAAAGAAACCGAACCCGAAAATATCAAAGAAGAACAGAAATCTATTATTGAACAGCATTCAACAACAGAGCAACCACAACATTCATCCAACAAGATAACTAATGAAGAAGGAAAAGGATTAGATCAACATTCTACATCAGATCAACAAGAACAAAAATCTAATTCAAGCGAATCAGAATCTGTATCCGAAATTAAACCATCAGAACAAGAATCGAATGATAATGTTGATGACACACAATCAGAACCAGAGAAAGAAAAGAATCTTGAAGATATCAAACGAGAGATTGAAGAACTTAAGCAAAAGAACGAATTAATGTATTCCGAAGTAGAATCAGCTCCACAAAATCTTGAAACCGAACTTTCACTTAATGAACATCTTCAAGAACAACTTCGAACTCTTCAAAAGGACAAACCAACTAATGATGAAAAAGACTCAGAAAAAGATAAATCCACAGATGACACAAATTACAAGAAACTTTATGACGACAGTACATTCACTATTTCTCTTCTTTCTGAAGATAACAAACAGAAGACAAATGAAATCTCAAGACTCAATGAATTAGTCACTTCGTTAGAAAAAGAACTCGAAAATCTTCAAAATCAACAGATTCAACCAGAAGTTCATCAAGAATTAGTTGCAGACGAGAATGATGATAAGAATCTTATTCATGAAAAGAATCTTCAGCTTCAAAATCTTATTATGAACAGTATTCATAATGAACCAGAAACAGATCAAACACAACCAGTCAGTAATGAACAATCTGATGAATTAGAAATTGCAAAGAAACAACTTGAAGAACTCCAGAAAGAGAACTTCAAACTCCGTTGCATAAACCATGAAATTAACAAGATGAAAGGCAAAGACAAGCCAAAGAAGAAATCTCATAAGAAGTCTAAACATGAATCAGAACAGAAGTCAGAAAATATTGAAAACCAACAACTCCCAGAAGAAACAGAAATTGTTTCAGAAACACAAGACAAAGTCATTGAAAATGAAATTGTTCTACAAGAAGAAATCAAGACTGACATAGATCAACTACATGAAGCTAAAGAATCTTCATCCTCTTTTTCATCAGATTCTTCAGAAAATGAAGAAGAAGTTCCAACTCAAATATCAATTTCTACTGAAGGAAAAACATTAGAAGAGATCCAGAACGAAATCAATAAGATTTCTGAAGAGAATAAAGATCTTCAGTCATCACATCCAGATCTTACAATTGATGAAGAGCGCAAACTCAACGAATCTCTTACTAACCAACCCCAAGAAATTCTTTCCAAACAAGAAAAGACAGAGAAAGCCAAGAACATTGATATTAGTACTCAAACAGATCTTCACGAACTTATGGCCAATAAAGAATTACCAGAAGAAATTGTTCCACACGCTTTACTTGCTGATGAGAATGATGATATTAAGTCTCTTCGTGACAAGAACCTCAAGTTCTACGATTTACTTATGAATCACATTCTCAGTGAAGATACAAAGAAACAGCCAGAAGAAGAGAATCCATCTGATGAATTAGAGATTGCCAAGAAACAGCTTGACTTCCTTCAGAAAGAGAACTTCAAACTTCGTTGTTTGAACCATGAACTCAATAAGATTTCTGGCCAAGGTAAAGGAAAAGGAAGAAGAAGATCTAAATCAAGAAAGTCAAAGTCAGATGATCCAGAAATTTTCATTGAGCCTCAACCAAATGACAACAATGAAAATGAAGATTTGCCACAACCAAATGTTGTTTCTACTGAAGGAAAACAACTTGGAGAGCTCAATGAAGAAATAGAAAAGCTTCGTAATGATAACAAAGAACTTGAAGAACACCAGCCAACACTTACTCTCGAAGAAGAACGCAATCTTAATAAATCAATTGGTACTTCACTTCAAAATCTTCTTCAGAAGCAACAATCAGAAAATAATGATTATAAGTTATTGTATGAAGAAAAGTGTAAAGAAAATGAACTACTCATTGCTGAACTCAATGATAAACTAGCTGAACTATCTCGACTTCATGAAGCAAAGAATGAAGATAAGCAAGAAACACAAAATGAGCCTTCATTACAATCGGAAGTTAAACCAGTTGATGAAAAATTTGTTGCAGATGATTCAGATAATGAAGAAAGTTTGCATGAAAAGAATGTTCAACTTCACAAACTTCTATTTGAACTCCAATCACAAACAGAGAAAGATCAAAACAAATATCAAGAAAATGATAAAGATAAAATATCAGAACAACATGTTCCTAAACAAAACGAATCCGAATCAGACGAACTTGCTATTGCTAAGAAACAACTTGAACAACTTCAGAAAGACAATTATCGTCTTTTATGTCTTCAAAAAGAACAAAACAAGAAGAAGCAGAAACAAAATCATAAACCTAAACATAAGAAGACTAAGAAATCCAAGAAACAAGAAGAAGACAAAGCAGAAATTCAAGCCATTGAAGAAGTTCAATCAAATGAAATCAAATCTGAATTCAAAGATCAAGAACAAACACCAGAGAATGATCTCTCTTCCAAACAAGAATCTTCATCGAATGAATCTATACCAAATGAAACTAATGAACCTGAAGAAATCAACAAATCAGAACCAGAACTACAAATTGAACCCAAAGAAGAAATTGTTGAGGAAGTTTCAGCAGAGCTAGAAAGTAAAGCCAGAAGTGAACATAAATCAGAATCATCGAATTCATCATCATCCGATTCAGAAACAGATAATAATGAACATCATGACAAAGTAGATGAATCCTATTCTGATCATAAAGCTAATAATGATGCATCATATTCAGATAATGAATCAGAAAGTGAAGAAGAATCAATAGAAGAACAAGTACCAGTTTCTATTTCAACCGATGGAATGACACTTGAAGAGATCCAAGAAGAAATTTCACGTCTTGAGAACAATAACAAAGAACTTGAAGAGTCAAGTCCACTTTCCCTTGAAGAACAACGTCAATTCAACGAAGAACTTCAAGAACAACTTCAAACACTTATTTCTAATCAATCTCCTCAGCCGCAAGAAAATGAGACCGATTATAAGAAACAATACGAAGATCTGAAGACAAAGTTTGATAAGATTTCAGCTGAAAACTCCGTAAAATCAGATGAAATTAAACGTCTCACAGCAGCACTTGAAAAGTTGAAAGCTGAATTGGAAGTTGCCAAGGAGGATTCATTTACACAAATTGATTTTGCCGAATTAATGTCTGCAGTTGTTTCAGAACAACCAGTATCCATAAATCTTGTTGGAACCCAAAATGATGATGCAGAAGAAATTCGAAACAAGAATAAGAAACTTCAAGAAATGATTCAGAATGAACTTAAATCACTTGAAAGTAAACCAAGCAATAGCCAAGAAGAAGAACTTGCTAATGCTCAACTTCAACTTGAACTTCTTCGTCAAGAAAACAATCGACTTCAATTACTTACACAAAACAAACCAGAAAGCAAAACAACCAATGAAGGAGAATTAGAAGAAGAAAAAGCCCAAATTGATCAACGTTCATTATCTGATGATAAAGAATCAAAGAATTCAAGCGAATCAGATTCATCCGATTCTTCAGAATCAGTTAAAGAAACAGAAACTAAGCAATCAGAGCCAGAGAAAGAAAAGAATCTTGAAGATATCAAACGAGAGATTGAAGAACTTAAGCAAAAGAACGAACTTATGTATTCTGAAGTTGAATCCACTCCACAAAATCTTGAAACGGAACTTTCACTTAACGAACAACTTCAAGAACAACTTCGAACTCTTCAAAAGGACAAACCAATTGAAATTCAATCTGAAGAAAATGAAACTGTTGACAACACCGATTACAAGAAATTATATGAAGACAGTAAGTTCACAAATACTCTTCTTTCCGAAGACAACAAGCAAAAGACAAATGAAATCACAAGACTTAATGATTTGTTACAAGACTTACAATCAGAACTCGAAGAACTCAAATCTTCACTCCAAGAACAGAATTCCAATAAACCAGACTCTGAAACACCAGTTATCAGTCGAGATCTTGTTGCCGATGACAATGACGATCAACATGATGTTCATGATAAGAACTCCCAACTTTATGATCTCATCAGTGACCAACTTAACAAACCAGGATTTGACTCATATCAAAATGTATCTGATAATAATTCTCAAGAAGGAGATTCTAATCAGGTCAAATCAGAACAAGATAAAGTTGATGAAACGCAAGGAAATTCTGAAGAACTTGAAATTGCGAAGAAGCAACTCGAAGCTCTTCAGAAGGAGAACTTCAAATTAAAGTGCATCAATAACGAGATCAATAAGATCAAAGGCAAAGACAAACATAAGAAGAAGAAATCGCACAAGAAACCCAAAGTTGACTCAGAAACGAAACCAGAAACAAGTTCTATTACAGAAGAACCGCTTCAAACAGTTTCAGAAGCTCAGCCACAAGAAGAATCAATACCAGAAAAGTCCACACCAGAGCATGTTAATGAGGATGATAACTCAGAAACACCAATTGATAAAATTGAAAATGATTCAAAAGAAGCAGAAACTGCGGTTATGCCAGAAAGAATTAATATTCCGGAAGTCAAAATTGCGCATAGTGATAAGAAACCATCATCAGGTTCATCTAGTTCATCAGAATCTGAGTCAGAATCAGAATATGAATCAGGAGATGAAAATGAGAAAGAGAACGAACATGAAAATATAGATAATGATAAAGAATCAGAAGAAATTCCGAAGAATATTAGCATTATCAATGTTGAAGGCAAGAGTCTTGAAGAGCTTCAAGAAGAGATTTCACGTCTTCGTGAAGAAAACAAAGATCTTTCAAACACCCATCCTCCACTCACAGTTGAAGAAGAACGTCAACTTAACGAATCTCTTCAAACCCAACTCAAACAACTCATTTCTCAACAACAACAAGATAAGCAAGATCATAAAGAAGTTGATAAGACCGATTCAATTACTCAAACTGATCTTAATGAATTATTCAACAATGAAAAGCAATCAATATCATCAGGAATTTCAGAAGATAACAAAGAAAATGTTGATTTCGAGAAGTTGTTTAATGATATTATATTATCAAATGAACTTCTTTCAACAGACAACAAGAACAAATCAGAAGAAATCAAGCGATTGAATGATCTTATCAACTCAATGCAGATGGAACAAAAGAAACCAGAGAAAACAGCTTATTTCGATGCAGCAACTGTTGCAACAGGTTCATCTCAAAGTGTTTATCTCAGTGACAGAAAAGATGCATCCAGTTGCACAGACCTCTTATCCATGGATCAACAAGGCAACAAAATTGACAAAGAGCTCATTGCTGATATTGATGATGACATCGAAAGTCTTCATGATAAGAATATCAAGTTACATGAACTTCTCCATTCACAGCTTCACAAAGAATATGAACCAACTAATGAAGATAGTGATGATGAAGATACAGATCATAACGACTACAGAGGATCAGGAAGTCTTCTTGTTGATGGTCTCGATATGATGAAGAGTGAATTAGAAAATCTTCAGAAAGAAAATGCTCGACTTCGCAGCCTCAAACGAGAACAAGATAAAGGTTGTGGAAAGAAGAAACGTAAGACAAAGAAACTTTCTCAAAATGATTCTCCACTTTTATCAAATGTTGAAGAAAGTGATGATGATAGTTCATCATCTTCTTCATCTGATTCAGAATCAGAAAGTGAAGAAATGAATCAAGTTAATGCTGATGAAATGTCTCAAGAAGAATTACAAGATGAAATCGATCGTCTTCGTAATGAAAACGATGAACTGAACTCTGCACAGTTGAATCTCGAAGAAGAGAGGAAACTTAATAAAGCACTTCAGAACAAGTTGAACAAACTTCTTGCAGAACAATCATCACAAAATGAAGAAGATCCTGATGACGAAATCAACGAAGATTTGTTGAACCTCTACATGTCTAATTGCAAAGAAGGAGGTCATCCACATCATCATAACGAACAACAAGAAAATAATAATACAGATTATGATGAACTCAAATCTGACATTCAATCACTTAAGATGCAGATTTCCAAGCAACAAAAGATGTATCAGGACAAGTGCCAAGAAAATAAGAATCTCAGAGCTCAACTCAAAGAAATTACTGGAAAAGAACCAGAAGTCAACAGTCAAGTTGATGATAATTCTAATGATGAATCAGAAGGACTCAAATTAGAATTAGAATCATTAAGAGAGCAATTATCAAAGTTGAATTCTGTTTCTAAATCCGAAATTTCTATTCAAACAGAGGTTTCAGAAATCAGCGTTTCTGCTTCAGATCTCAAATCAATGAACAAACAACTTAAATCTAAATTAGACGACAAATTAGCTCAACTCGATTCTAAGCCAGTAGCAACAGAAGAAGATGAATTTGCCAAAGCAAGACTACAACTTCAACTTCTTCAAGCAGAAAACGACAGACTCAATGCAATTCAGAGCAAAGGAAAAGAAGATTCCAAGCCAAAGAAGTCTCGTAAGTCAAAGAAGTGCCACCACAAAGTTGAAGAAAAGAAACAAACCGAAGATTCTGAAACGCAAGAAGAGAATGAAAAGAAGCCAGTAGAGAAAGAAGAAATACAACAAATTGTTAAGGAAGAAAAACCAGAAGCAAATAATGAAGATATCGTTAAAGAAGATAAATCGACTGAAAATGAAAAAATCAAACAAATTGATCAAGAAGAGAAGCATGAAGAAATTAAAGAAGAAGTTACTAAAGAAGACAAACAAGTTGTTGAAGAACAGGTACCACAAAAGATCGAAGAGAAGTCATCAAATAACGAAGAAGAAGCAATTACACTTAAACTTGAAAATCAAGAAGAAAGCAAGGCTCTTGTTGCTTCAATTCCATCATTTGAATCTTCATCAGCTTCAGGTGATGAAACAGAAGAGCAAAAGGAAGAAGAAACAAATGAAGAATCCAAGAAAGCAGAGTCTTCATCAGATGAATTATCTGATTCATCAGATTCTGAAGAAGATCAAGGAGCATATTATTCTGAATCATCTTCATATTCTTCAGACGATGATACAGAACCAATATCTAAGGATAAGAATCTTGAGGATATGAGAAAGATGATTGAAGAATTGAAACAAAAGAATGAAGAACTCTACCAGAAAGTTGAAAACCTTCCACTCAATAAATCTGATGAACATGTACTCAATGCTCAACTTCAGCAGCAGCTCGATACTTTGGATGTTGTTACTCCCGAACAAGTTGAAGAAGGTTCTGATGTTGATTACAAAGAACTTTATAATGAAAAAGTTGAGAAAATCAATCGTCTCAAATCCGAATTATCTGCTCTCAAGAACATCACCAAGGATAATTCAACAACACAAACAGATCCAGTCATCATCATTGATCAAACAGAAGTTGTTCAATCTAAAGTCATCAAACCAGAGCTCATTGCAAATGAAAAAGATGATGAATCAGCAATTCAAGAGAAGAACAACAAACTCGAAGACATGTTATTCGAGTTACTCAATAAGAAAGAAGAAGAAAAGCAACAGAAAGATAATGATGAACTTGCTGAAGTTAAGAAACAATTAGAAGAACTTCAAAAGGAGAATTTCAAACTTCATTTGATCAATCAACAAAAGAATAAATCAGAAGAAGAGAAACCAAATTATGTTTCTCCACAAGGGTTGACAGTTGAAGAACTCCAGCAAGAAATTGCCAAACTTCAGGATGAAAACAAACAACTAAAGCAATTCGAATCTCTTTCACCTGAAGAAATCCGTGAATTGAACAACAATCTTCAGAACGAATTGCAAGAAATCTTAACAAGGAATGAACCAGAATTGAGTGATTCAGGAGAAATTCCAATAGAAGAATCTTCAATTGACTTCAAGAAACTCTATGTTTCTAAATGCCAAGAAGTTGATGACTTCAAATCGAAACTTTCTGAAATACAAAATGTTTCTAAATCAGATACATTTGTACAAACAGAAATTGTCAATCATAATGTATCAGATGAATTAATTGCATCAGATAATGATGATCAAAAGTCAATCCACGAAAAGAACTTACAATTGCAGCAATTAGTTCAAGAAGAATTACAAAAGGCTCTTAAAGAACAAAATAACAACCAGCCAACTCAAAATGAACTTGAGTTGATGAAGAATCATCTTGAACAATTGATTGAAGAAAACTCTAAATTACGTTCAAAGAGGAAGAAACACAATAAAGGAAAAGATTCTTCTTCATCATCAAGTTCAGAAGATGTCAACAGTTCCAAGATTGATAGTTTGTCATTGGAAGAAATGAGAAAACAAATTGAAGCGTTGACAGCTCAAAACAGACAATTGGAAGCTTCATCACCAAGATCATTATCAGAAGAGAAACAAATGAACGAAGAACTTCAGAAACAATTGCAAGAAATCACTAAATCAATCAACAAACTCAATACTCCAACAGATCCTGAAGAATTGAAGAAACAATACGAAGAGAAATGCCTTGCAAACGATTTACTTGCAGATGAAAACGAAAAGAAGTCTAAAGAAATCAAGAGATTGGAAGATTTGTTGAATGATTATCGATCCAAACTTGAAAATCAAAACTCTGAATTCAATCCAAGAGAATTGATTGAAAAGGATAAATCAGATTATCAACAATTCAACGAATTACTTGGAAAAGAAATTGTTGAACTCGGAATTTATGATGAAGATACTCTTCAAACTGCCATAGAAAATGTTAAACTTGAACTTGAATTAACAAAGCTTCAAGAAGATGGTAAATTCATGCGTGATTTCGCCAAGAAATCAGGAAAGAAACTCAAACCAGCAATTTACAAATATGAGATTGATACAAGTAAAGTTGCTAAGTCTTGCATTGTTTTAAGTGACGACGATGAAGAAGAAAATGATGTTTCAAATTATCATAAAGAGTTAGAAGAAAAGATAAGAAACAAGAAGTTTGAAAATAACAATATCCTTGAGCAATTATCTGACTCTAATTTACCACAACTTCCATCAACAATTTCTATTGAAACCGAATATGAAAATTCAAGCCAAATTGATTACGAAAAAGAAAACGCAATTGAACATCAAATCAACAAGAAATTGTTGGAAGTTTTACTTAATGGAAATGGACCAGCCCAAATTGCTTCTCGTGATGTTCAATTCAGTGACATTGAAGAAACACAAGATGTTGACCAGTTGAAGAGCATAATTCAGAAGAAAGATGAATTAATCAAGAAGTTACAAAATGAAATGGAAAAGAAAGTTAAAGTGAACATTGACAAAGAAACCCAAGTTGAAGCAACATTGATGACAGAAGAAAAGAACAAACTCAAGCATAAGTTACAATTATTACAACAAGAAAACGAGAAACTTCAAGCTTTGGTCAAAGACGATGAGATTTCTATTCTTCCTGTTGGTTCAATCATTGATGACATTGAACTCGCTGAAGTTCCAGAAGAAACACCAATAGACCACGAAAAGAGATTGACTGAAGCTGTTGAAGCTAAAGCTCTCAGACAAATCGCTTTGTTGCAAAAGAGAGCAAGATTATTACAGAAGAGATTGGATGAAATTACAGAAGATTCCAAACAGAAAGAACCAGAAAATCCAGTGACAATTCATCAATCAGATATGGAGCTACAAAATGGAGAAACAGAAGATGAAAGACTCACAAGAGTTCTCGCAATTGCACAAGCATCGAATCAAGCAGAGATTGAGAGATTGAAGAACAAACTCAAAGCAGCAGGAGTCATCGAATCAACTGATGAATTCAACTGCAGAGACATCAAATTGGAAGAAATTCCAGGAGAAACAGAAGAAGAAAAGATGGAAAGATACAAAGATGCAATTGACGAACAAGCAAATGGAATCATTAGAAACTTGAGATCTATCATTAACGAAAATAACATTGATCAGCCAGAATTCCAAGAATTAGTTGTCAGAGTTCCAAAGAACAATCTTGGAAAAGCCAAAGATCAAATGCCAACTAAAGTTTCATTGATCGCTCCACCTCAACCGATTGAACAAACAAAGATACAACCATTGGTTGAATTGGCTGATAAAGTTCCAGAAAAGAATATTCTCAAAGAAATCGAGAATTTCATTGAGAACAAACAGCAAATGTTCCTTGATAAACTCATTGAAAAAGACAACAGAATTGAAGAGTTGCAAATGCAAATTGAACAACTCAAACAACCTCCAACAACAACATTTGTTGCAGAAGAACAAGTTCCATTATCAGAAATCCAAGCAGAAAATGAAGAAGAAAGAAACCAGAAGTATATCCAAGCAGTTGAAGAAAGTGCAAACAAGAAGATTGCTTCCCTCGAATCTCAGCTCAAATTGCAAGAGCTCCAGAAGAAAGAACTTGAAGAAAAGATTGCAAAGATCGAAGAAAGCAGTCAAGGAAGTATTCCAAGCACAGAAATCTCAGAAAAGGATGAAGAGATACAAAGATTACAAGATCAACTGAAATTGTTAACAGAATTCAAACCAGAAACGAAACTTTCCTTCGAAAATGTTCATATAGAAGCAATTCCAGGTGAATCTAAAGAAGACACATTAAAGAGATTCAATGAAAAAGTCGAACAATTAGTTAATGACAAAGTCAAGGAATTACATGAAAAGACACTAGAACAAGCAGAAAGATTGAAAGAACTTGAAGCAGAATTAGAGAGAAAGAACTTAGAAAAGATCAAGAGTGATGTAATGTTTAATGTTGATGAAGTTAAAGTTGAACACAACAATGATGAAACACCAGAAGAATTCCAAAACAAACTCGCCAAACAAATTGAAGCCAAGGCAAATGCAAAGATCATGACATTATACAATGAAAACATGAAGTTAAGAGGACTTCTCGAGAATGCGAATGGTCCAGATGTTTTATCACCTGTTGAAGGAGAAACACCAGAAGAAAGACAAGAAAGGATGGAGAACTTAGTCAGAGTTCTTCACAACCAAGTTCTATTCTTAACAGATGATTTACAACAAACTAAAGACGAAGAAAATGTCAAAGCAAATGAATTACAAGAAAAAATCGATTTGTTAGATAAAGTTCAAGCAGAGAACGCAGTCAAAGATATGGATATTGCAGAGAATAATCAAACAATACAGAAGTTGCAAGAGCAAAATGAAGAACTACAGAAACAATTAGCAGAAGCAAACAAGAAAGTCAAAGAAGCTACAGATAACCTCGAAAACGTTCTCAATAACCAAGCGATGAACCAATCATCATTGACGTCTACATCTGAATCAATCCAAGAATCGAATCAAATCGAGCCGGTCAATAAACCACAAGATGTCGAGAAACTTGTCCAAACATGTAATGACATGAAAGGAGTCATCATTGAGTTGAAGAGAAGATTGATCAAATCAGAGAGATTCAGATCAAGACTGAAAGAAGCTCATTCTAAACTCACTAATGTTCACAAAGGAGTTATGCAAGTTTTGGCTGATGCTGCTGCCAAAGCAAATCTTTCTCTTGAATCATTCGATAATGACAATGAAGCAATTGCCAAAGGTGTTGTTGCATTGATTGACCTCGATGATTCCAATTCATTGTTGAAATTTGTTGGTGAAACAGTCACAAACATTTTGCAGACATTCTCAAGTTTGGTTGGAGAGCAAATGCAGAAGTTCTACGTGAATGGACCAGAAGACTCCAATTCCATCATGAATGAAGCAAGGAGAATCAGAGGCCTCATCAAGAACTCAATTGCAAGAACAACAGCTGACTTGAAGAAAGCACAGCAACAAGCATTGATGGCAGAAGAGAAGCTGAAATCAGCACAAATCGAAAATAATGATTTGGTTGATAAATTCAGTGCTGATGGATCATTGAAACTGAGAAAGAACTACAAAGTATTACTTAGAAGATGCCAGATTTACCAAGAAAACGAAAAGCAACTTCGAGAATTGATTTTCAAAGCTTATCCACATATCTATGACAGTTGCTCCAAGGAATCAAGTATTGTAACATTGATGAAAGAGTTCTGCATCAGATATCCACAGTTTATGGTCGATCTCATTCAAGATACAGCAGAGAAACCTCTTTTGATGTTAGACCATAAAGTTGCAACATTAAAGAAGAGATTCGATGGCATTATCCAGAAATATGAATTAATTGTCAACAGATTCTCTGTTGCAGGAAACAAGAACGCAAATCCAGAAATCCTAAGAAAAGTTGTTGAATCATATTCTTATGTTTTGAAGTCATTGTTCCCACCAACAGCTAATATCAATGCTTACTCGCCTTCAAGAGATATCCAGAAGCAGATAAACAAGATCATGAATAATCTGAAGAATATTTTCAATTTAATTCCAAATAGCGGAATGCCTAAATTACAGAACATCAGTAGTTTAGTTCATGGTATCAGACAATTCTTGATGGCTCCAATCGGAATTGCACCAGATTTAGATAAGTCAAATAGTGGTGATGAATTTTCTGTCGGAGGAAGACTGTTCGAATACGAAAACAAGATTCAGAGTTTGATGGATATCGTTGAATCTTCAGTTCCATTAACAAAAGTTCTTGACCCACTTTGCGCAATTCTTGGTGTTCAGACAACAGAATATTCCGAAGAAGCACTAGGAGATATCATTGATGCCCTTCGTGACAGATGCTACGGAGCTGAGGATACCTTCACCCAGTTCGAGGCAGCACGGAGCGCATTGAAGAATTTCGTAGTCGCAGTTGGAGACAAAGTTCCTCCAAAGGCTACAGAATCATACGAAGCACTCAAAGCATCATTGAAATAATTTTATTTTTTATTTGTATTAAATATTTTTTATTTGATTAATATGATTAAGATATATTTATATAAGCAAAGACACTTGTAAAAATAGTAAATTAAATCGAATTTATATGAATTACATCAAAATACCCTTCATTTCCAGGAATAAATTTTTTTTTGCATGACCCATGGTTCTAAAATAGCATATTTTTCTAAAGCATAGGGACAGAAGACAGCTAGACAATTTTGAATAGCAGAACATCTAGGAGCATAGCTAGGAGATAATAAATGGACAACTTCCTTGCAAATCTGAGAGGGTAACGGGCATGATTATTCAAGATTTGATCATGTCATAACTCACCCAATTTAGATGACACAAGCCTGAAATTTTAGCACTATTATGCTGATAGGCTATTGTGAATAAACAGATCACCGTTTCGAAATTTCAAAAATATTGCAAAATATGATAAGCTCAAAATTATTCAAGCATGTTGAAAAACAGATATTTTATTATATATGGCATAAATTTTCTAAATGTACTTTCTAAATAGAGCAATCTCAAAAAAGATACAATTCGAAATAATATAACTATTCTGAAGTGTATTATTCTTATAAAATGCATTCCAATGAGCATAGAAGCAGGAAAATATAGAATTTAAGCTTATTAGCTAAAAATATATAAAGAAATATGATTTTGTCATTTAACCATTTAATATATGCGTTTAGCAAATTTAAAATTGAATTTATTTCTTATTTAAATAATATTTAATAAGTTAGTTTATAATGAAATAGATAAATTAGAAATCTTTTTTGAATTGCGAATTTTTCAATATAGATTAGATATTATTATGCGTTATATATCAATGTATTAAGATGGAAATTATAATAAATTAAGCAATTTTGATTTGTTCAATGTGGAAAAGAGAAAAATATGATAAATTTGTATGATTGTTATGTTTTTGAGTGTGATCAATGGTTGCATTAATTATATAATGATGGGGAAAACATTACTATGGATGATTTGAAATTTCACTCATTTTTCTAGTTAATTGTCAAAATGGTATCAAAGCACAAGTTAAATAGCATGCAAAGTTGTTTGAATTATGATACCACTGCATATATATATTATATTGCATCATGATATAATATTAAAAAATATGCTCTAGTATAAAAAATGATTATTCCAGAGCAAAATGTCATTATATATGAGTTTATCAGATATTACAGTAAACATTATAGTTAAAAATAGCTAATTGTATTCTAATAATTGTAAAAATGTTTTTATAGTTTGAATTATTAAGTGATTCAGCAAATAGAGATATGATTTTCTAAAATAAGATTGTAAAAGAGTATTTATACATATGTGCAGATATATTTTCAAAATATATCTTACAGTGTGCATAAAAAATGATGAGATATTTTATTATCAATATTTTGTTTTAGAAAACTAATAACAAATTTAATCATTTATGTTATTTTTGTGTTATTATCAGTAGAGAGTGAAGATAGCAAACAGCCCTTAGGCTGACAGGCGATTAAATACTATAAAATCGAATTTTTGCTCCACTTCTAGTATAGTACAATGGTTAGGAAACATCCTAGAAAAACTTGTTTTGAGGTTCATTTGCCGAACGAAAACTTTTTTTGAAAATCTAAATTATCAGAAAAATATATATGATATTTTATGCTTTTTAAAACAGACAATATATAAAGAGTAATAACCATTTAGTGTTATATAAAATATTTAGCTTTTTAAATTATTAAATTTTAATTCGTTAAATTTTGTTCAATTTTAGCATCTCATTTTTAACTATAATTTCATAACATGGTGTTTCTTAATCAAATTGCATCTAAATTAATGAGAAAAAATTTGAAATTTGAAAATTCAGTATCTAATTCAAATATCTATTTAATAGCATTTCTACAATCGCAGTAATTATGAGATTTCAGGTTCGGTTGGTTAGTGAAATTAAATTAAATATATAGTATAGAGGCAAATCTGTAATAATGATTGCGAGAATAAGACCGACAAGACTTTCTTGGCCGATCTTATGATCGAAATACAGTCATTTCTGGTACACTGTCAGTGCAGTGTATCAGAATTGACCGAATCTCTCGCAATCACATTCTGATTGCAAGAATAAGACCGACACTATAGTGCAATTGAGTCTATTGTGTCTGTTTTTTATTATGAATTTGTTATGAATTGATGACGCCTGATGGTAATTAAAATAAAAAACTTCGATCAATGAAATTACGGTAAAAGTAATTTTTGCTGATGAAATTTAGGATATAATTATATGCATATTTAAATTTTAAAAGTGAGGCAATATGATAGAGTTTTTTTTTTCAAACTTGGGAAGCCTTATGGTAATTTATATATGGTGCTTAACTTCTAAATCGAAATCAAGTTATAATGATATATCAAATCACTCAAATAGAAACTACTTCATATATTTAAAAAACACAATTTAATAAAAAACAAAAAAACAATTTTATTCTATTGTGATTGAGACTCTATTCTTTCCAGTGCTCTTACAATGAAAGACTTAACTTCATCATTTTTCTGCACTGATTTCAATTCATTCAAGAAAGATTCATCAGATAAAAGAACTTTTCCAATTGATATCAAAGGCTTTGGAATTGGACCATTTGAAAGCAAACGAGGTAAAAGAGATCTTATTGCTATCTCTGATAATCTAACCTGAGAAACTTTGTGAACTTTTGAAGACCTAATTATTGATTCAACAGTTTTTACCAAATTATTTGAATCTTGGTACAAACAACAAATCAAATCAAACAAAACATCGAAGCAAATGGAAACAGTGTGTGCAACACATTGTTCTGAGAAACTAAATATGAACTCTGCCAAATGTCTTGAATCAATTGCATATTTTAGTATGCAAAACAGGAGAGGAACTTGATTTACACATTTTTCTTCTAAAAATGAAACAACATTTTTGAGTTTGTTTTGATTCAAATTTTCATCTTCGAAAAATTCTATTTCTATTGGATATTCTTTCTGCATCTTTGCAAGATCTATTAAAGGATGCATTGGCTTCTCTGATATTGTGTTTATTATATTTCGAATCTGAACAAAATCAACAGGAAAAGTGATCAAAAAGAAAATTTTTGAATCTGAAACAAACTGAGGAAAATCATGAATCAAAATCAACAAAAATCTGAGAAAAGAAACATATATCTTATCAAATATTGCTTTGTGGGAATATCTATCTATTGTTGGCAATATTTTAATATAATCCGTGATCAAAAGCGCCAAAGATTCTTCATTTTCTTCAATTAATTTTTTGACAAATTTTGAATTTGTCAAAATTTGTATCCAACAAAAAGCAAATGATGGAACAATTGTTGGTCTAATAGTATGTAGGAATAATGTAATCTCTTTTGGAGTATAAACATTCTTAACAAAGAAAATATTATAAATAGAATTGAAAATTTTGTCAATTTTCTTCAATTCAATTTTTTCTGACAAAATAAATTTTGCCAAAGAATTCAATAACAAATATTTTGTTTCTTGTTGTAATAAATCATCAGTAATATTCATCATTTGTTCTCCTGATAAATTATTACAAGTAAATTCCTTTTGTTGGTCGAAATTCGAATTATGCAAACAGAGATTGAAATAAAACTTCGAAAGAGTCTTGAGTTTCATTCCGCATTCTTGTATTTTGTCATAAGTGTTTGACAAATATGAAAGATCATTTTCAATGAACGATAAATTAATCGTTATTACATTTGACAACGAATTGATGAAATCAAGACCAGAAAACTGCTTCTCTTTTATCAGGACATGATAAAGGAAATTGATACAAAACATGGCATTGACAGAATTGAATGGATCAACATTTAATAAATCTGTCAAAATTTTGTCAAATTGACATGTTTTGACATATTTAAGGTTAATCAGTGTTGTTATTAGCGGTATTGATCTTATTGATGTTTTGAGCCAATACAAGATGAAATGCTTTGATTCGGAAATCATCTTTTTGTTGACACTTTTGTTTACAATTGTCAAAACGTCATTTATTACTCTATCAATGACTTCATGGTTGAGCATTGTTGAAGCCATGAAAAATGTTTTGAGAATTGATTGGAATCTTTCTGTATCCATCATGAAAGACTTCAGTTTCGGCATGTGTGTCATCAACAGAGAAATTGCGTTTTCATGGTAATTTACATCGTATTTCGAGTTAATCGATGTATCAATGGGAATCAGTTTCGTAAATGGTTCAATGAACTTCATGAATTCTACATCAGGCTGTAGTTTGATGTCGTAGTTCTGTTCGAACTCCGATTTGTTAAATGGCTGAAGAGAAACAGGTCTATTGAAGAAATCTTCGTAAACTTTGTATTCTGTCTCTTGGAGATTGGATCTGATCAAGCCAAATGTTTTTGTTGTGAAGTTCTTTTGATTTTGGCTGTTTTCTGTTGGCGAATTTGTCTGTAATTTGTCATTTGATGACTTTTCGGATGCGATTTTAACAAGATCGCGTATAAATTGAGCAGACCACTCGTAGTTAACTGATGCAATATCATTGATATACTCTATTTCTTTGTCATTTTTGATTTCTGAAGAAATAACATTTATCAATAATCTGCTCAGCTTCGATTGTGTGGAAAACAGGCTCAGACATGATGAGATTTGGCTGGTAAACTTGTTTACAACTGATGGAATTGCTTGTTGGTCGATTGATGAGGTAAAATCTTTTCCAACAAGCTGTGAAACAGTGGAAGAAGTCTGGATAATCAGCTCTTTGCACTCAGTTTTGATAAATTCGAACAAATTCTCTGAAATGTTTTTAGATAAACTATTTGATAATTCTGGATTTTCTGTTAGAAGGTCTGAGTGAGGAATAATGACATGCGACTTGATGTATGATAACATGAAGTGCTCATCAAAGCTGGTAAGTCTGTCAATATCTGTTTGTGGGCTTAAATGCGATAATGAGAAAGGAATCATTACAAAATCTGAGTTATTTTGTATCTTTTCTGGGAAGAACATTGGAATGTTATCAAACATTGACAAATTAACCGAAAATTTGTCGAAAATAGTTCTTATGCAATTTTTGATAGGTAATTTCACGTTTTGCAATGCATAAATACCCGATAATAAATGTAATATACCGGATAGATATGGATTTGGCGGGTTAAAGAAAGGAGATGCTTTATCAATAATTTCGCAAACGAAAGGAACGACAGCATTCATTTTTCCATATGATACTGAGTGTAATATTACTGATTTCAGATCAATGCATCTCGATTGGAGGCCAATATTATGTTTTAGAGTTAATTCTCCAATTAATGTTCCTAAAACATAAAGATTATGAGCAGCAATGAGGTCATCTGTATTATCTTCCTCAAAATTAGTGTTAATGATCAATGAAAGTGCTCTAAAACATGCAGCTTCAACAAGATTAAAATTATAATTTGTTGGCAAACGCTCCGAAACGAAACTCTCAACTAATGATGGATTCTGTTCAATTATATTGACAACTTCAAGTGATATCCAGTCCGAATAATCTTCTATTTCTTTGTAAACGATGTGTAAATCTTTTGGATTGTATTTTATCTGTCTCATTGCATCAACAACACGAGGTTTCGGATTTTCAAGGCTTGAAAACCTCTTTAGATGATGATTTATTTCTAAATCTTGTGCAATTCTGTTTGTAGCACTTTTATTGATCAAAAGCTTCTGTTTGACTATGGATATATAAAGTTCATGGTCTATATCTGATAGTTTTGGTTCATTTGATAATTGTATGATGATTTTATCATAATTCAAAATTATATGAAAAGTATTTTTGATAATTTGCAGTAATTCTGTTGCCTTTTGCATTGAATTGATAGATAGAAGATATGTGATGTGATCTACAATGGTATGAAGTTGTTCTGAAGTTATATCTTTTGAAGATATCAGTTGAACGATAACATCACAGTATAATGAGATATCTGAATCTTGGTTAACTATATTAGATATTAACAAGTTGATTGACTGTTGAAAAAATAGGAAATTATGCATTCTCGCTCGAATTAAACTCTTATAAATTTTTTCAGGTGGTTTCTCTTTTGTTTGTAGCTTCCTTATGACTTCTTTTGCATCTTCTTTCGATTGTTCATTTGATTGTTGGTCAATTTCAATGTTCCAAGTGATAATTTTGAATGGATTTCTGAGATTACAACATTTTGTATAGGAAAACTGCACAAATAATTTTGTATTCAATGATAAACTGTTAAACTTGTTTTTGATCGTTGAGAAAAACAAGTAAATCGTTTTTGGAAGAATTAATGAGTTTTCTGCGATGGATTTTCGAATTAATTGGTCAGAAGCTGTTAGTATTTGGATCTCTGAGAAGTTGTTCACTAAGTTAACTAATATATCTTCGTATCTGTCTATTGCAAAATTAATTATATCAATTAAAAAGTCAAAATTGCATTTTTCAGTAAAATCTTTGATGTGATCGTCAAATATCGGTAAAATATTCTCTAAAAACTTTCTTGTCACTTGGAATTGAGGGGAAATTGTTAATAATAAACTAGATGCGTTGTTCCAGATGAAATTAAGCTCTTTTACTGATGCATTTGGGAATATCAGGTTCCCTAAAAGCTCTCTGGAGAACTCCATGATCTTTTCTGTTTTGTTATTACAATATAAATTTATTAAAGTTAAAATTGAATGGGAATTTATATTTGAGAAGATGTATTTCAGTCTGTGAATGTTATTAGAAGCTAAATCAATTATTTTCGTTGTAAATTCTTCACTTGTCCAGCAGATATTTGAAATTTGGTCAGAAATATCAAGTAAAGTTGAGAGTTTTCCAGGAGAATTTGATTGGATATTGATGTAAACTTGTTCTTTTGTTAATACTTTTAGTATTTCATACTGTAATTTTCGATTTTTCCAGTTTGATAATAAAAATTTTGAAGAAATTGTTTCATTTTTGTTAAAGAAGTATAATAAATCGAATAGTAATTTAAAAGAGATGTTCGAATAATCATCAGGTAATGGAAAATCGAGATTTTTTATTAAATCTGTGAACGTTATATTGAAATTATTAAAAACCGTTTGTATATTTAGTAGTATAGCTTGAGCTGATTTCTGATCCTTTTCAAAACAGTGATAAAAATTAGAATTTGTCGATGATAAATGATAAAGTAGTTCTGCGCAGTCTTTTGCAGTAATATCCGGTAAGAAACTAAGTTTATACATCAACTTGTTAATGGATGTAAGTGTTTCTTTGCCTAATTCCGAAATAACTGTTTTGATATTTAAATTCTTAAAAGATATAATAGATTCACACGTATTTTTATCTTCTTCAATTATTGGAAAGTAAGGTATGAAGCTGTAATTATCTTTATTCATCATTATTGCAACTTCATAAGAGAAAACTGTAAATTCTGTAAATATCGATTTGTCAGTCATATTCTGTAGCTTTGCATTGAAATATTCCATTGCATTTTGTGCATATTGTGAGTTAAAGAGTGATATGGATAATAAAACCGAAATTGAAGAAGAAAAGCAATCCAAAACTGCATTGGGAAATTCTGAATATGTAGATAATGAGTTTCTAATCAAATAAAGTATATTTGGTCGATTTCGGTTCGCTCGAAGAATTTCTAAAACAACGAAATTAAGTCTGTCAGTAATATCCTTGTCATTTTTGTAGTCAACAGCTGTTTTATAAAGCGTTGATAGTGTATATTGCAAGATTTGCTGATTAGTTACATCAATAATTTCAATAATTTCTTTAATCGAGCCAGTAAAATCTGGTTTTTTAATGATTTCGCCAATCTTTTTCCTTATGATGAATTCTGCATATTCAAATAAAGAAAAGCTTTGACTCATGACTCAACTCTTTTAATAATGCGAATATTTGTCACTTTTTCTAAATTTTATTAACATCCGTTAGATTTCATATCTATAACATTCGAATAATGAACTTGCATTAGAGTTACAGTAGCATAGTGAATTATTTGATGCTTTATTGCCACGCTAAATATGTCCATTTTCAAATAAAAAATCGATATTTTTATTAGATCAATTGAATAATGCATTAATTTATAAGAGTGTTAGAAGTCTCGTTGTGCATAATTTTGTGGAATCTAAATTTCCTTTAATCATATCATCAAATTCATATCTTATATTTTTGGCAATATAAGTACATGTTTTTATAGGAAATTTTCTCTTGAACTTTCCAGATGGCGAGATAGAAAGTATTTGAAATGTTTAAATTGAGAGTCATCTCAAAATTGAGAAATGTTTAGATTCTAACATCAGACATTTCTTCCATAAAATTTTATGTTATCACCCATAACTCTCCGTTTTTGCTATAATCAAATTGATTTGACAATTACATATATATCATATAATGATGAAAACGATCCCATACATATATGAAATAATTTGCTACAATAAATTATCTGAACAATACGATGACACATATGTTTCCATGAAGGCCCTTATTGATGAGAAATCTCAGAAGAGAATGATCCTTCTTCAGTATTCTGCCATGATCAAATGGTGATTACTTCTTTTGGATTTTTCTCCATACAAGTGATAAAAATAATAACAGCTTCTGATATTTCCATGAAGAAAAACTTCAATGAAATATTAGAAAGGCTTATATGCTATCAAGATGCAACATTGCCTGAAGATATTTCACATCATTTTGCTTTCCAAGATGCAACATAAAATTGTAATCACTGTCTGGAAAAACACAGCGATAGCTAATAATGCATACGGCGTGGATGTATTTAGCAACATGTAATAGTACTAAATAATATTATGAGCTGTGATGATACTTAAGAGATTGATATTTTAAATTAAATGTTGTGTCCTCAATTTTAATTTAATTCTGATTATCTTTTTAATCATAGTAAGTAAAAATGAATCCTATAGATAAATACAATAGAACTTTGACTTTAACAAAAATTATCTAATTTTCACATTTTTAAATTTATAAAGAAAGACTTAAATTTTCATGTGTTGTGTTATAAAATAAAATACTAATTTCATGGAAAATTTAATAAATCGAACAAATCAAAGATTATTTCATCCAATTCTTTATTTTGATATGTTATAAGTTAACTCTTTATATATCAATAACATGTGTTTTGAGTTTTGCCAAATGATTTATGAATATTGAGATTATGGAAAATGTATTGTCAAATTCTCCAATATTTCAAGAATCTTATAAAAATTGTAGCATTGCTATGATCACCTTGACAATATTCTAGAAAATACTGTGAAGATTTTCTTTGAAAATTAATTGTGGATTTGATTTTGAATATGATTTTTTTCTAATTCTCATATTTTCTAAATAAATAATATGTTCGTTTTTGCTTGTAGGATTTAACAGATATTTATTATATTTATTTGCTTCATTAAGCTAAAATTTTTTGTCATCGGCTTGGGAAAAAATTTTCAATAACATTGAAAAAAATTCAAGTAAAAACTTCTTCTCAAAAAAGATGTCAAAAATAAATATCACATATTAACAAGTTCTAAACTTGTTCCACTAAAATTTGGCTCATAAAATTTTCTTGTCAAAGGACATCAGTTTGAATATGTTTTCAATTTGATAAAAAGTGTTATGGTTCCAATTTTTAATTCATGCAATTAACTAAAAAGTATTGTATGATTATATTTATCATGATTTCAAAATATCGTTATGTAGTTTAAAAAAGTTATCAAAGTCTTTTGAAATTCGATTTTCTATTGTTTTGAAATTGAATTTTATATTCAGAATATGAAAACTAATGGCCTTTTCCATGATGCAATAGATAAAGAAAATGAAAACAGAATAAATCCTTATGAAGAGTGTGGAGCTAAATACAATATTGAATGCAATTATATCATTCCTTTACCAATGACATTGGTAAACTCAATGACAAATAATGTGTTGGATGGTTCAGAAGAAACACAAAACAAGTATAAATATGTTCTGGAAAATGGGAAAGAGGTTGAGTTCAATAATCCACTTCCACCTGGAATTCCACAAAATATTGTTCATGAATACTGTCATCAGGCAATGTCAGAGCGATCTGAAAACACAGCCCAAGATGAAGACGAATGCCAACCACTGAAAGATCTTCTGCTTTATGGAACTGTAGCAATATGTCCAATAGCTGGAGTTTTGATTTATTACATTTTTCGTATTAAAAGGCCAAACTTCGCTGAAAGAATTCGGATTTTCACATTCACAACTTTAATAACTCTCATAACTATTCTCCTTCTAATAATATGTTAGATCTGTTTTGTTAATCATTCAGTATACTCTAAAGTCATTAATAATAAATACAGTGTTTTTTGATGTCTGAAATAAAGTATCCACTCTTTCTGACTACTAACTGGAATTAGCATGTAAGTACAATTGAAATTAACAAGAATTCATTTATTAAACTGCACAATAATTCTTTTTTATTCATTTGTACAACTTCATTGCATAAATTAAAATGAATTAATAATATTATTTAGTTGTTTTTATAAAAAAAGTTGAAGAGCAAATATAATATTAAAAAAAATGATTTTATCAAAAATCAAGATAAACAATATGCATGTTGTTTGCTAGTAGATTGCAAAAGGATATTTTGGTTTTTTTATTATTCAATTATAGAAAAAATTAATGAATTGTATAATGGCACCGTGTGAAAACGTGTGTATATCATAATTTAATCAAAGTGTTATTATCATTAACAATATAATGATTTAAGGGTGCACTAGGAGGATTACGGTTTTTTAATCCTCCTTTTTTTTCTAAAAAAATCCTTGTACTTTTGGTACTTTCGTACTCTAAAAATATCATAAAAAATTAACTTGAGCTTAAATGCATCCGCAATGAGAGTGCATTCATATCTTATATCTCATTCTCCTTGAACTAAAACATATTTCAAAATTTTGATTAAATCTTCTTAATTTTCCCGAGAAGTACCTTAATGTGTTCTACAAATCTAATATAAATGAAATAAGTATGAATGATAATGTAGAAAAACATCAAAATTTGATTTGTGATTGCTAATATTTTTCAATTTTAATTTTTTCGCATTTCTTTGCATTTTAAGAATGATAAATCAATATACAGTGAGAAATAGAATACATATTAAAAAAAAAAAAAAAAAAGGTAGTGGGGCTTCCAGGCGCGTTGCGCCCTCTAGCCCCGAAGAAATTTTTGAGAGTCGTCACTTTTCTGTCACTTTTCAGGAAAAAACATTTTTATTATATATATAAAATGAATTTTACAAAACCACCGTTACCCTTCTTTGGAAATAAGAGTAGATGTAAAGATATTCTATTGAGAGAACTTAAGAAACTACCGAATGGTCTAACATTTGTAGATTTGTTCGGTGGAAGTTTCTATATGTCCCATTTGTGCCATACCGTATTCCCAGACTCAAAGATTATATGCAATGACTTCGACAACTATATGAACCGTCTCAAACATATACCAGACACTAACAAAATATTGAAAGAGTTAAAAGAAAAGATACCTATAGGTAAGATGGAAAGTATACCATTAGATAAGAAAAATATTGTAAGAGAGGTTTTGAAAAAAGCAGAATATATAGACTGGGATAGTATATCTGCTAGACTATTATATAGTGGTTCTATAAGAGTTCATGACATTGAAACACTTATGTCAAAAGTTTTATATCTTAACTATACAAAGGTTTTCAAAGAGAACATAGAAAAATATATTGAGGGTATAGAGTTTGTGAGATGTCATTGGACAGAGTTGTATGAAAAATATAAAGACAAGGAAAATGTTTTCTTTATAGTAGACCCACCGTTCTTTAACACATGGGATTTTCAATACCAAGTAGACTGGACTTTGAGAGACTCTTTAGAAACTTTAGACGTTTTACATAACCATCCATGCTTTTACTTTACATCCGATAAAAGTGGTTTGGAAACCGTTATGAGATGGTTAGGGGACATACATGGCTATGAGTTTAGATATGACAAGATAGAATATGAGAGAGGTCCTATAAACCGGAGAAAGTGTCATACAAAGAAATTTTATTGGTAAGTAAATGTGGTTTGAAATAGGACTACTTGTTTTAGGTTTTTTCCATTGTGTCATTTACTTATTTGACGTGGCAGAAAGATATAGAGAATATGAAGATGAACCAATACCTGCAAATGTTCAGCATATGTACTCGTAAGAGATATTTTTATCTAATATTAAATGGACGCACAGAACTTAGCGAATGCACAGCAACCTGGACAACCAAACCCAGAGAATATTCCAAATGAAGTTAGAATACAAACTGCAATGGCAAACTATGGTCAAGTGCCAACAGATGTACAAATGCAAACTGCCATGTCAAATGACGCTGCGTTAGGTTTGCCACCATGGTATGCAAATATGAGATGGAAAGAGTTTTATACAAACCCTGAAGTGGGATATAAACAACTCTATGCAGATGACGCGAACACAGGAGTTGACCCAGAATATGTTTTCTACCAGAGGAGAAATAGAATGTATGAGCTCCAGTTAAAGAATGCTATGGAACTCAACAGGAAACGTAAGAGACTAGGCGGACATTAGATTTTTACATATAGTAAAATGGGTTTCTTTGGAAGAATAGGAAACTTCTTTCGAAATGTTGGAAGAGGTATATGGAATGGAATAAAATCTGTCGGAAGAGGAATTTGGAACGGTGTCAAAAATATTGGTAAAAGAGTAGGTCAGTTCGTTGGTATTATACCTAAAGACCCTGAACCAGAAGAACAAGCTCCTGTTATACAACAGCCTGAACCTGCACCACAGTCTAGTTGGCAACCAAATCCAACACCTCAACCGTATTAAAAATTATATTTTTACCGTTCGATAGTAGTTGTATATGAAACTAAGTTCTAAGTAAAACGCATGGTATAATGGAATTATTCTCTTTCTTCCATCTGTAGTAAACCATACTTGAAAGTCTGAAATACTTCCACTCGGCGGTTCATATAGCTTTGTAGGTTTTTCGTAAAAGTCATTTGCCAAGCATAAAAAAGAGTTTTGTGCACCAGAAAATGAAGCATGAACTATAATAGCATCTTGGTCGAAAACATTTTCATATGTTCCATTAGGGTTTCGACTTCATAAAAGTTCGGGTGTACTGGATATGCTGCAGGCTGATTTAACATCCTCAAAAATCTATACCATGCCAAGTTGTTATATTTTGTAGAAATATAAACGTTTTCTCCAAGGTCTTCTATTTTATTGATTTTAACAGTTGCATTTTTCCTGTCATAAAATAATATCGAGATGGTATTCTCCTTCGTCAATGTTAAACTGGTTTGCATATTCAATATAGATACGTTTATTTTTCTTGAAAAGCTTGAAGAGTTGTTTCTAAGTTTAACAAGCAAATTCACTTGTAAAAGTTTTCCCTGTTTCAAATTTCTCATACGTACGTTTTTCTTTTTATAGTATCGAACTTCAAAACCGACCGTAAATGGAAACCATGTATGGCTTCTGAAATGAACTTCATTCTACGAAAGCCAACAGCTTTTGTGACGGATGGGTCTCTTAACCATCTTAGTGGGTAGTCAAAACGATAGCCTTCATGCTTTACGGTATCTGTCTCAAACTTTTGACCGACATTAGTAAAAAGTTCATCTAATGGTTTAGTTGTAGCAACTCTAGAATTTTCTTTTCTATTGGAAGCATATTTTAATCTATAATAAAAATGTCAAATGAAACAGCGTCTATGAAGAAATACAACACAACCGACAACTCATTATGCAAGCTCAAATAAGAACACAACAAACTTTCAAACTATTCTAAGATATCTGAGTCATTGAAAGAAGGAAACTTAAAACTGACGATAAACCCAATGACAGATGAGTTTCTGTTTCAAGACAATAGGAACCATACTGTCTGTATAAATCCAACAAAAGGAACTTTAAACGAGAAGCCTATAGATGAACTTCTTTTGAAAGCAGATATTGACAACAAAGCTGACAAAGAGTATGTCATTGAAAAAGTTCAAGAAGAACATGACAGAGCAGATGCAACATATGCAACAAAAGAGGATGTTGAAAAGAAAGCAGACAAAACATATGTTGACGATGAGTTAGCATGTGTGGCTAGTGCGTTTGTGAAGAAAGCAGATAAGGAATATGTGGATGAAAAAGGTAATGAAATTAAAGAAAGGGTTGAATGGTATAATGAAAGGACAACAAAGATTTTAAAAACTAAAGCTGATACAGGATGGGTTTCAGGATGTTTAGACCTTAAAGCCGACAAGAACCATACACATACCATTGCAAATATTACAAACTTACAAGAAACCTTAAACAGGAAAAGTGACGTTGGACATACACATAGCTTCTTCTCAACTGTTGGTATAGAAAGTATTTTAGGAACGATTGAAGAAACTGGTGGGGGTGGATTATATTTTAAACCTCCTAACTTTCCAGAAGGTTTAACATCGGATAAAGACATTAGATGTAGAAATGTCTATGTCATGGAGGATGAAAAAAAAGTTAAATTCACTGCTCAAGATTTATATGATAAAAAAGCTGACAAACAGAGCTTCAAACATTAAAGACAGAAATACTTCAAACAGTATATCCTATAGGTTCTATTTATACGTCAATGAACTCTACCAGACCAGAAGTAGTACTTGGTTTTGGAACTTGGACTCAAATAGTCGACAGGTTTTTGTATTGTGCAAACTCTTCAAAGGAAAACAGGTGGAAGTAAAACGATTTTCAGGTGCAAATTTACCTGCGCACAGTCACTACATAGATTTAACTACATCTGAAGCAGGTTGGCATAAGCATAGATTTTGGGATTGGTCAGCAATGAAAAAAGGTAAAGGATATGATGTTAAAGACGACGTTCAGTTTGCTATAAATTGTTTCTGGGGTAACACACAGGGAGGAGGAAACCATACACATTTCGTTTCAGGATATACGCAAACAACAGGACAAAGTAAAGACTACATGCCACCTTACATGACAGTTTACGCATGGTATAGAAATGCTTAGTCGTCATTTTCAACTTCTTTAGCATATTCGTCAGGAGTTGTCTTATATTTGTTAGAACTGTCTTTGAAAGTATACCACCTTGAACTTTGACAAGTTTGAAACGAGGTCTGACAATAGTAGTTTTATCTTCTGCTTGCAGTCTGTACATTTTGCCATGTTTGCCTAAAACTTCATAATATTCTCTTGTATACTTTCTTCTATTTTACGAACACGAATGTGAGTACCTGTCGGGTACTTGTTGTTGTCATAGTCAATAGTATTTTCATA